AATGAAAGTAGACTTTTAATTAAATTAACGATAATTACTTTGCGAATGAAATTTGAATATAGTTTACGGACACCACCTTACACCTAGCCTATTTCTAGAGGAGATAGAAAGAACTCTGGTACAGCCGTTTCGGAGTTTATTTGCAAATTTTATTAAAATGTAAGTATTATAAATATTATCCAAGATTATAATTAGCCATTGGAAAGAATATATAGTACATATAGTTCAATGTCACCATCAAGGAACTTTAAAGCACCACTATAGGCTTGATCCGTTAAACACGGAAAAGCCACGGTATGCGTTGAAATTTTCTTTGAAGACTCCGGCAACCTTGCCAAACGGAAGCGAGTATTTGTCAAAACATCCATTTCATCTAACTAAAGACTTTCAATGGATTAAATTCTTTTTATAAAAGCAAATCAAATTTGAACATTTTTCTTTGAAATTAAGACAATAAGTGGGAAATTACAAACATCTGCTGAAACGACAAGGATACCAACTTTCGACTTCCGGTTGGACAGAAAAATCAACCCACTCTACTCTAATGTCATCTGCATGGGGCTGTAGCATCAGGAATTATGTATACATGTACACGATAAATTGTATAACTGATACCATAGACATTTTAGACAAAATTTCCTTGATAAACTTGATTTATGAAAATGTTCTAGAAAGAACGTGCTTGTCTTGGTTTATTTACAGAAAATTTACATGTTCATAAAATCCTATAATTATTGCTTGGACGTTGTTTGATCATATAAATTACTGATAGCAACTTCCCAGCCTGGAGTTATTGAAAATGTTCTTTTTATTTAAAAAAAACATTTTTGTAAAGATTTTGGTTTGCTTTAATGAAATAAGACCAGTTATACGTAAAAAGAAGCGTACCAAAAAGTCAATTACCTCGGATCTTCAAATCAGTACAAGAAGAAAGTTTTTTTCGTTTAATTTTTTAAAAAGACAGACTGTCTTTTGGAAATGCGTTTTTATAAGATGAAAACTGAATCCTGCCAATGTTGTATTTGAATTTACTGCATATATGTAACTACCTTGATTGAGAGTAATTTACTCCTAGTATTGAATGCAGAGTACTATAAACGTTTACCTCCACGGAACCATAGCAGACAGTTAGTCATACCTGCCTTGGATCATAATCTAATTTTCAATTTATTAAGGTACAAAATGAATACTCGTTTATTCTAAAATAATACGGAAAGCCTTTGGTTGTCTCAAAATTCTTTCAATATTTTAGTCTATTTTAAAGAAACTAAGAGTCTCTCAAAAGCAAAAATGTGTACAACATGATACGGTAATAACCTTGTTTGATTTTATTGTGCTTGAAACGAGGTTTTATTCTAGGTTACATTTGTCACAGACAAAAATGTATATTTCAAAGAAAACAAGTGGGAAAACATTCACCCATTAATCTTTAAAATTTATGGCACATATTTAACTTCAAAAGATATTTTTATTTTTTTTTTGCATTGGCACTTTTAATTATCGATCGGTAATTGTTATATGGAAAAAGCATTCTCCAAGTTTTAAAAAGAAACACCAGATTGTCCATAAAACGTGCCGTTTAATGTTTATGTCTTCTAGTATATTCTGTCCTTGTTGCTTTTAATCACTTTATATTAGTTAGGACAACCAAATTTCCGGATGCATTATAAATATTACACCATCAGAGGAAATATTTTTGGTGTATCTTTAAAGTTTTCTATCTTTGAAAATTTAATTGAAAATTGGAAGGGAGGAAAATCTTCTTACAGTATATCATTTTATATTTTGAAAGTAATGATAACAAGACATTCAATTTTAGTATCTATGGCAACAGCAAAAAGGTCACGGTAAATTAATGTGTCAATTAGTGTCCTTGTGTTCCAATTCTCTTTGAAATAAGACAAAAACTGTAGGATGGAAAGCATTTTAAAAACATTTTACAAAAAATATATCTTGGGAATCATGGCAACGTCATTCATCAAATCAAAAACTAATACAAAATTTTGTATCTGCGTGCAGTCTCCTTGTGTTACAAATTAACCTATAAAAAGAAATAGTTTTTTAGTGTATTTTATTTGTTTAAAACGGAACTGTAAATGGAGAAGCGAACAGGAAGAATTTTTACAGAAGTTGATATTTTCATTACATGTAGGTATGGCAGAAATGATTATAGAATTATGGATCCTGCTATAGTCTGACTCACTTGTATACCAAGATATTGAAATCAGGCTAAAACTGTAGGCAGAGAAGGTTTTTATTAAATTTCTATATTAGTAATAACCATGCCCAAAAGTATAATCATTTACCTTTTTTGGAGTCTAATTTTTAAACAGTTAAATTAAAGACTGGCTAAATCTGTAGGAGCATTTTGAATTCTCGTTTTAATTCATCTGAGATGAAGGCTCCTGAGCTTTTCTGATCACATTTTGTTTAGCGTCCGTCTGTAAACTTTCAACATTTTCGACTTTTTCTCCAAAAACTTAGGCCATTTTCAACCAAACTTGCCACAAAGCATCCTTAGGTGAAGGGGATTCAAGTTTGTTAAAATTAAGGGAGCCACGCCCTCTTCCAAGGGGGGGGGGGGTGATAATTATAAAGAATTCGTTTGAATTTTTGTGTCATATTAAAAAAAATCGTCTCAGAGCCATTGGATCTGAAAAGATAAGCGTATGTGAAACCTTCATAATATATGTTGAGCAAGAAAAGTTAAAGCTTATGTGAAACTTACACTGTACTAAAATAAAGTAGATTCAAGTTTGTTTTTTTTTTTAGATCAAGATCTTGATCAGTAATTGGTAGGTTGAGACCATAATCAAAGGTTTACATAAGAGTATAAAATTATATGAAAAATCTTTTTAAAAGCCATTATTATCATATTGATATGGAATCATCATCATGTAGTGAAGATTCAAGTTTGTTCAAATCAAGAACCCCGTGCAAAGGGTGAAGCCACAATGGGTGATCTACGTTTTACCAAAAAAAAATTGTAAAAAGCCTTTTTTGAAAAAAAACAAACTTTTTTAGTCATATTGATAAGGAATCATTCTCTGGTTGTTACTTCCAATCATGACACCGTGGGTAGTTTTGTGACACAATGGAAGAGCTAAGTTTTACAAAGGAATATACAGGAAAATTATTTTAAAATTTCATTTGAAAAATAGGCTACCGGGGGTAGGGTGTGGCTAGAACAGGGGAATCAAGCTTTACATTTATTAAGAAATATATAGGAGAAGAAAATAGCAGGACCTTTTTGACGCAGGTGAGTGCTGTGACCCCCACTCCCCTTCAGAGAAGGTGTATAATTATAGTCTACTTGTATACCCAGTAATTTTTCAGTTGGATTGAATCTGTAGAAAGAATAGAGTTCTGAAATTTTTTTTACATGTATTGAAATTTCTACTTTTAGTTACCATGCTCCTACCTTTCATCACAAACGATTTATAGAATAAGACTAGTATATCTTAGTGTAATCTATTTTCATATACTGAGGTTCCATATTTTTAAGTAACAATAAGAACACTTCTTTGCATTAAAATTTAAACAAACGAAACACGGAAACATGTATTAAAAAGGTAGATCTTTGTAGAGGAAAACGATTCAAAGAATAAAGTTAATCAATGCTCCCATACAGTGACTGTTATTTCGTTAGTTTTTATTGGAGGTTGAGAATAAATGAGTGTTTCATATCTAGACAATCCAAACATATTTGAATTTCAGACAGAATTAGAATGTGTATTATATTTTAACACTATATTAAAAGCAAACAGATGGAAAACTTTGTTTTCCGTCAAAGAAAACATAGAATATCTCATAATAATAACAACCCCCTTGTTCAAATGAAAAGTTACACTCATGGGATTGGGAATTCAAGGAATGCCGGATATTATTTCAGACACTTCTTGTTCGGATAATAATTTCCTGTTATTAAAAGAGGAATTACTGAGAAATTAAGAATTATAACTATATTCAAATTTATTTATTTATTCTTGTTATTGTTACATGTAAAAAACAGAATTCTAGTATTACACCATCCTCGCAATGCCAGGGGTACTGAGTCAACATGATGCCGTTGGGCCTCTGGCATACCGGTATTTCATTCAACGGTATTCAATTCATTATACGTGGGCTGACTGAAGCGACGTCTTTCGGAAAAATTAAAAAATCTAAAGGACAAGATAGGGTATGACCTCTATTTGGCCCCTGATTTTGAGTGTCTTTCTTTGAAATTGTACCAGAATTGAGGAAATTCAGGAAAACATCCTACTTCTGCACTCTCTAGTGGCTTCTGTGAAAGCTTTGAATCCAATTAGTGCTGGTTTTAGAGCAAGCATCATTTTAAGTTCTTAACTTACAAACTATCACAATTTTACCAGTGTTCCAATTTTTACATCAAATAAGGGGCAAGATTTTGTCGTTACCCTACTTTCTCCCTTATTGTTTTTCATATCTTTTAACCAATCACATGAATTCATGGCCATTTTATGATAAACAACACGTGCATTTGAGGTGTCAAGTAATCCTTTTTGTTAACATTAACCTTTTGTGAAATTTTTTATTTGATTCGTACTTCTCAATGAGAGAAGCAAGCCCTGCCAGGGTATAACGGCAACGTGATGATTCAGGATCCTTATCACTGCGTAGTTGCACAACTGTAGCTCTCCAAAAAAATATATTTTTTCGTAGAGCTACAGTTCTGCAGCTAGGCATTGCGAGGATGGTATTACATTTATCATAATTTAAAAAATATATATACAAGAAGAGGGGAAAAATTATTTGTTAAAAATATTTATATAAAAACCTATGTATCTAGCAGAACTATTGCATTCGTTTCAACGTTGATATATTATAACGGCGGGTATTATTGGTCGCGTGGGACGCTTACTCCGTCATGGCACCTAACCCCACCTCTGATCTTTATATAGGTCCGCGTTTGCTGTACTCTTGATTTGTATCGTTTCAATGGACTTCTAAGGTAGATTTATTGTTTGTTATCTTCATATTTCATGAAAAACATAAAAGGAATGAAACTAGCTTCCAATGAATTACCCATATGAAAGCATTTCACCTATCCAATTTGTATGAATGTACTAAAGAATCTTTCGAAACTGTGAATGCGCATACTCAGACTTTAATTAAAACTAAACGTAGTAAGTTTAAAATTATTTAAAGTCCTACAAATTAGAAATCGAAAAAGTATTAAGTATGACACCTTAAATATAAATACATCAAATCAACTCGAAACAAACAAACATATAAAGATACACATGAAGGCTTACAAAATATGAAATTCCTCGATGGACAGTTTGAATGCCAATACATGATTTATATATGTACTAATCACCGAAATAACAAGTGACGTCATGGCCTGCGGGCAGGTATACGTCAGTCATTTGTGTTTAGGGAGAGGGCATTTTCTTAAGTATTCCACAACAAAAATAAACAATTATCGAAAAAAGCCATGGGGAAGAGCTCATGGAGAACATATTTAATGCTAGTAATTATTGGATATCTTGGTTGTAAATGTGTAGAATGTGTTTTTGTAGAAACAGCACATGGGTGGATTCAAGGAAAGGTTACGGACAGTGCTATAGTGTTTCTTGGAGTCCCTTTTGCTCAGCCTCCGGGAAGGTAAGTAACTGTCAAGACAAGTTTATAAACTTGTAAGTTTTTCTTTTATATAAAGTTTTTTATTTGAATAATAAATTCAGGAAGAACTGGGTTGGGTAGGGTTGTCTGATTTATTTAGCAAGTTAAAGCTAGTGAAATTTTTTTCATATTCAGTGATGATGCTAAGAATTTATACCCTCCGCGTTGTAAATTATGGTAAATATATATGTAATATGTTTGGAAACTTGCTATGATTATTTCCTTTTTCGATGACATAAAATTGCGACCATTTGTAAAGTGATAATATTTAATAATGATGATCTTTGTGAAAACACCAGTCAGTTAGTTATACAAAGATCTGTTCATTTTGATGTCTGAGGATTAAAGTAAACGAGGCATTTCTGTCTTGATATTGATCTCATATTATATTTTTCAATATTTGGCAGAGGGAAAAATCATGTTACATAGGTTCAAAAACAACAGACCTGCCAATCCAGGCAATGTTTATGACTTCGGATAACGCATACAGGTTTGGTGGGGATGGTAAATCTCTTAATGTTGTGATATTGTGCACATAATTTCTCGTTTACTGAAAGATATACCATAAATGGCCATATATTCAACTCGAATCTTGATCTCAATTTCATAAAATTCTGTGTTAATTTGCATGTCCCCGACTTTTTATCCATAAAAACCCAATAATGTGCATACTAGTATTCATATACAAAGCGATTTTTCGAGCAGATAAAAATATGCTGATTTGACAGCCTTTTATCCTCATCAAAACGTTTTGGCATTGGTTATCTTAGAAATGATATCTACTTTTCGCGATAATTTGTTTTCTTCACCCACATAACGCTAATACCAGGAAACGTCCTTGCATGGTGCATTTCAATTCTAAAGAATATGTAAATCAAGTTTCTTCTGTCGCATTTCATCTTCGGCGCTGGGTGTCAGTTTCGCTTAAAAGCGAATAAAAAATCAAAATCTAAACCCAGGTTTTTAAGATAAAATAGCTAAGTTCGTCAAATTCCGTTAAAAAGCATGCGGTTGTTACTGAAAGTTAACCCAAAGCAAATAAGACTTTACCATACAAGTTGTTTAATGTAATATGAAAATATTAAACCTCAAATCTTAGACAAAATACGGCCATGGTTTTACGCATGCAGTTTATACACTATAGACCCATTTTCTATAATTAGACAAGTATATAAAATTTTAAGAATTCTTAAGTTGTGTCGGACAACTTGCAGAATGTTAGATTCCATGAATGAGGGATACGCCATTTTTCAAAACTTCGTCAAACTCAATGTCGTAAAATTTAAAGACGATGGAAATAAATTTTGCTTGAACAAATTAAATTAAAGAATATTTTAATTTTTTGATTTTAGATGGGAAGATCCACGCGAGCCTTCGCGATGGGACAACATGTGGGATGCTCGATACGTGCGCCCAATGTGCCTGCAGCCGCCATGCGGCGCCAACCAGATGCTGGGATTGTGCATACGTGAAGTAGGTCGACCTATTTGTACAGTAATCATCTTTAAGTGTTCTTTGTTCACTTTGTGAAATGTGTGCCTTCGAATTTTATCTATTATACCATATATGATATTTCCGTTCATTGAATCATATGATGACACAGCTTCTGACTATTTTTATTTCGCTTTACTTACCTACTTTCGCAATAGTCTGGGTCTCGGGCGATTTGAGACAAATGATTAATGCATGATGAAGTTTCCAATTTTTTTGTAAAGGGAAGGTATACTTCATAATGACTTACGTATTTTTTAGGATGCCCATATCCATCATTCAGAGGACTAATCAACCTTGATTAAGGTGTTAATTGTCTAATTAATCTCAATTTTGTTTCGTTTTTGAACCCACTCCATTTCTAAAGAAGGATGACATGTAAATGATATCTCTTCATCGTAGTTCAGTTCTACATTCCACAGACAAGATTATCAAATATAAAAACGTACATTGTAAATGTACTCACAATTGTGAAATTAACATAAAATTCAAAATACATTAAAACTTTTCTAATCCTGTCGCCATTGATTTCGAATAGATTGACCGGATTCGTCAATTTCATGAGCAACATTCCGGATAAGACATTTTAAACTATTGAAATAAGTGAAAGGGGGCGTGTTGTTTACACCATATCAGACAAAATTTCGGAATACAAAATATCCAGATTAGTCAACTTTCACTGTAAAAATTTTTACATATTATCATAACATTTTCAGTATAGTCTATCATTTGTTAAATTTTTAAAAAATGTTCTTTGTAGAAGAAAATTTTAATTTTTTTTTTCTAACTTTAAAGTTGAGATCGACTTTGATTAAAGCCAGTGACAAAAAGACTTTCAGAACATTTATTTAGATATTCTAATGATTTGATAAGATGCATGAACGCTAAGATTTTCTGTCGCTTCATCATATTTATTTAAATTTATACAGGTAAAGTGAAAGCATATTTGTATGTCACCGTCCCATATTTTAATTTTGTTCCCAATGTCAGTTACGAAGGCTTAGATTTTTCTGACCTGAATACTTGTAGTCGAATTTAATTTTAAGATTAAAAAAATTCTTTATGTTTAGATGTCTGAAGACTGTTTATACCTAAATGTATATATGCCTCTAAATACGGCGCCTAGCAGCGGAAAAGCGGTCATGGTGTTTCTACATGGTGGTGCGTTCGAATCCTTCACAGCTGGTGCCGACATCTATAATGCGGAATTATTTGCAAAAAGGGGTGACGTCATCGTCGTTACAGTAAATTACCGATTGGGTAAGTTAATTTAATATTTTAAGTAAATAGAATGAAAGGGCTTTCAATTTATCAATCTTATACAAAGAGCATATCGAGAAGAATCTGCTTTGCGGCTATCATTGTTAGACCTTTAACTTTTAGTCTTCAGACTCTGTCAATTTTATCTTCCCGCTTTTTTTAAAGAAGAGTATGTACAGTTTAATTGGTTGGAGAAATGGTAACAATGCATATAATATAGGTCATCCGTCGGCTTATGCTACATCCATGAATAAGCATCAATGTCATAAAAAAATTTATCATTGAAATCAGAAATGTTTAACTGTGATATTCCAGGAGCGTTGGGATTTCTGGTGACAGGAACTGGTCCAGGTTCAGCAACAGGGAATTATGGGATAAAAGATCAGCGGTTGGCTTTGGAATGGGTGAACAAAAACATCCAAAAATTCGGAGGAAATCCGGAAAATGTAAGCTATTATAAAAATTGTCAATGTCAGTTTAAATTTACAATGGTTTTAACTATTGTGAGACATCAAAAACTGAAATAGAGAGAACACAAAAAGGCTAATAAATCTTACTGTACTTTTTAACATTAAAATTTGTTTCTTTTATGTTGAAAATGGGTAAAAATTTATATCTTTTATTCTTAATGGGATATTTTATGATTGCATGATTCTAAAATAAAATGTATCCTTAAATTTGAGTATTTGACTGAACTTTTTTCAGTGTTCATAAATATTTTTAACTTTTAGGTTACTCTCTTTGGTCAAAGTGCCGGGGCTTTGTCAGCACTGATTCATCTAACCTCCAGAAAAGCAGATAAGTTGTTCCAGCGAGCCATCATTCAAAGCGGTCCATTTAGCATTCCGCCCAAGTCATTCCAAGATGCCTATTCTCAAGGAGTTGAATTCAGTCGAAATCTCAACTGCTCTCCACAAAACATTCGTTGCTTGCGTCGGAGATTGCCTATGGAAGTTGTAAGGGCACAAAGGGCTACTGGTGCTACAGGAAATGTTCTTCAGCGGTTTTTGCCTTGGTCACCTCATTATGACGGTGACGAGGTTCCGGTTAATCCTCACACTGCTATAGAGAAAGGACTTCTTGCCAATAAATCACTGATCATTGGTACAACCGCACACGAAGGATTGACGTATGTGTACAACATATTTACATCGCCAATGAATATGATGACGTATTCGGGACTTTTGTTAATGATCAATCAAAACGAGGCTTTCACGTGGCTCTCGAGATATTCTCCCAAAAACTCGCGAGATGCTCGCGAGGCTTTGTCGGAGCTCGCCACAGACTATATTTTTACTTGTCCGACGAGGCAGATCGCTGAAGACTTGTCACTCTCTCAGCATAAAGTCTGGTTGTACGTGTTCGACCATGGAATGAAATTTCTGAATGGCACAGGCATTATGGAGAATTGCCATGACAACGCATGTCATGGAGGTGATATACCTTATCTATTTCAGAATCTCCAGAAAGTGTTTCCTCTCAACCAAGAAGAAATTCGTCTGGAAAATGACATTCTAATATATTGGACAAACTTTGCTAAACATGGAAATCCAAATGGTGCTAGTACTAACAATTCGTCTGTTGTGTGGCCATCTTACGATCAGACGTCTGAATTACCTAGGGCTGTGATGTATTTCAAGGTCCCAACGTCAAACGTAACACTTGACTATAAGGGACCTATTTGTGATAAATTTAATAAAATGGATTTTAGAGGATAGTTTAAGCACTCACATATGAATTTTACTTGTTTTATTTTTTTAAAGCTTGTTACTGGTTGGTTTCTTTAAAAGTATATTAATCAAATTTTAATCGTTACGTTGGTTGCACATCTATAAAACGCTAGCTAATACATTAGAACATTTCGGATTTTAGATTCAAAATTATCATAAATATAAAGCCCTATTTTTAAGGTCGATCCATATATGTATGACGTCATAGAAAATATGTGACTATTGGGCATGTTTTTCAATGTGACAAAGGCAGAGTAAAGGGTGGCTTGAGAAAGTCCTTTTAATATCAATGCCATATGTAAATATAGTAAAACTAAAAAGTACTAGTTGTATAGGTCAAAGAATATCAATATATTTTTATTAAAATTACTAGTAGCCCTTTTCCTTGAATTGCTAAAGTTTTGGTCAAAATTTGCATGGGGTTAGACAATTTTTATTGGGGGAGGGGGAATTAGACGACTTAAACAAACTTCAGTTCATTTTACATGAAAGTTTACTTCAACAATAAAACAATCCATGCAAGAACTATATATATACAAGGGTACACACTGGCAAAGGAAAAACTGCAGAAGGAATGTCCAGATAGACGTCAACGTTAAGTCCGTGTAATCACAAATAAACGTCACCATAATGTCATTGATGAGGTGAATAAAGTCACATGAGTGCAGGCAAAGGGACACTAAAATCGTTACTTTGCACTGCATGTAGCGAATGAGTCGTATATACATAGTACATCTTTGTCTCTGTACACTCACACGTACGAAGTAAGACTGGGCACTGTCATCAAGTCCATGCATAGTGATAGGTATAAAAATGTCCGTGCCAGTCTTTTAAAGGCAAATAAAACTTTGCCATATTAGAAGTACATCTGCAAGACATGCAGCAAATGTTTTGTCTATGTATCACTTATATACAGTCACACACAATCCAATCATATGCAAACAGAACGCAACACAAAAGGGCCGGTGTGGGACACAAAAGTCCAGTCAAGTGGTACAGATATCGTGATGGCGATCACTCCGTGACATTTGTGACCATGCCGACATAATCTAGAGGAGAAAAAGAGAAACACTATATATTTGCATAATAAAGGCCCAGAATTTTTCTTAGACTGTTAACAAAAGTACCGAATTTATATAACACAAGTATACTATTTTTAATCTCAAAATACCCAGTTCTAATTCACTAAAAGGCATATCAAAAGGAAATTGAATTGCCCTTTTTCTGACGTTAATTCGAAAAATGGGGACCAAAACGTCAAGTAAACTTAATAAATTTCCATTGTTTTCTGAAGAAAATATTGTTTGCATCATTCTACAAGTAAACGTTAATCAGTATCGTTCTCCTCTTCAAAAGACATAAAATGAGGAATTCAAGTCCTGTTTCTTGGAGACCTTGTGATGACGTCTCTGTTCTGGTACGTCACGACGTCTCTGTTCTGGTATGTCATAGCGGCGCACTGGTCTGTGCTTAAAATTGACTCTGGCCAGCCACTCAATCTGTTATCGAAAAAAAAAAAATGGTATATGTTACCAAGGAGATGTGAAAAAGAGGTTCGGTTATTGTTCACACAATTGGATAATGTAAGTTGGGTGAGTAAAACAACTGTATGTGACTTTTATGCTGTTCCTAACACTCAGAAAGAGTCTGACACTTACGTGATGCGTAGGTTGTGGTATAGTAGGAAGCTCCCTACGCTCCTCAGAACTGTTGATGGCACTGGTCAGTTCACGCTAAAATATAACAGAAGTAATCTTAATTATAAAACTATCTAAAAAAGAATATGATATACATATGAATATTATGCACAAAAGAATTGTCTTTCATGATTTAGATTCTCACCCAGTCTCGAATATGATCTTTCCATTCATGAACAGCAGAAGCAAAGACTTGCTTGCACTGGAGAGAAATTGTAGAGACAAATTTAGAAGGAGAAGAGAAAGAGAAGAACACAGAGAGAGAGAGAGAGAGAGATGGAAAGAGAAGATCCTTACAGCTGATTTGGCCGCCAGGGCAAGCATCACCTCGTACCACTGACGACTGTCATCTGAAGAGGCCTCTACACGGCGCTAAAATTACAATAAAAATATATTTCTGATTATTCTTAAAAATGTGAAGGACATGGGTGAACATGCCGTGAGAAAAACCTATAGCGCAACAAATATGAAGGTGAAAAATTAAATCTCAATTATATCAAAATTTTCCTCAATATTTCATCTAACATTAAAGTATACTTTATGTAAAATCTCTACAACTTGCACAAATCTCATGAAGATTAAAGTTATTTGCCTGTGAAATACTGTACACACACGAAAGGGGACAAAACGAGTCATTTTTTTTCACACTATAACACTATTTTTCGATATGAGTGAGTCTTCTCTCCATTTTTTTGAGAGTTAATCCTCAAAGTTTGCATACAAACATACATATGTTGGTTTCCAAAATTATGGAGCAATGACCCACTATGCCTTCAAAATATAATTTTATGACATAACTTTCGTATCTTTTCAAGAAATACTTGAAGTCCCTTAAGTCAATGGTCATATCACAAACATGATTTAAATGCCACACTTCATCAGGATATGTGTAGCGTATAAATGGTTAGCGTGCTAGTCTCAATAGAGAATGCAACTCAGGATTTTTATTGCCTGGGTTCGAACCCAATGGATACCACATTATTTTTTTGTTAATAAAAGAATAAATTTTAATAAAAAAAATTTCCTCAAAACATTTTGTTTATCATGATTTCATAAAAAAAAAATGATAAGAACTTTACTCTAAATACTAAATTCACAATCTGAATATGATTTTTATATGTCTGAAGCTAGTGGGTTTTCTGTACGCTGTACGCCCAAGTTCACCCATCTCCTTTAACACAAACAAAGAATTATTAAAACTGTATTAATTTACAAACAATTAACGTTAAAATGAAAAAAAAATCCGTGTAGTCGACCAGTCATATATAGGGCAAGAGATCCCTTTAAACTGATGAAATTAATAAATAGCAAAATAAGCCTTCTTTTTTTCTTTTTTACCCATCTATTTACTTTGTGGTAGATTTGTAATATGTAATTATATATTATAACGACATGGTCTGAATACTAGTATGTAAGAGGCAAAATATGCGTTACTTATAGAAATTATTTGTAATCACTCTATGGTAAAGGGGAGAAAACTCAAAATTACGGTTGGTACTTAGTACATCCCCTTAGTAAGAAGAGTCATGAATATAATATTTTGAAGAAAATATTGATTGACCGAGGAAAGTGTCTTTTCCTACAACCCACCCACCCCTCTCCCCCAAAAAAATGGGGTTTTCAAGTTTGGGCACTTTTTTTTACTGGCTGATATTTTAACCTAAAAACATTCTGATCCTTCCATTTTGTCCAACTTTTCTTATAATTGACAGTGGTCGATACCTTTAATGATATTTTGCCGTGGATGTTAAATGATGCATACTTTTTATAAAGTATTTTTGATAAAACGCAATGTCGAACTCCGTGACTTCTAAGGATATTACTACCCCCCCCCCCTTTCACGATTTAAAAAAAAATATTTTATTGAACGTTGTAAGAAATCGGATGAGTGCATGATTTCTACGTTGTTTTTTTTTTCTCAAGAAATATAAAGATATCTGAGATATGTAAACATTTCTTTTTCATAAAACATTTTTGAAAAAAAAAGTTCGTTTCTCATGTGAACTCGGTCGTATACGTCTGAGATTTATTGCGCTGAATTTCATAAAAACAAACATAAAGACCAAAAAAAAGTTTATTTTCTGATGAATTACCCTCTTAGACACACTCTTGCTCTTTCTTTCAGAAGATCTTTGTCTTTTCATTGTGATATTTGAGATTTTTGTCGCACTGAGAAAAACACGTCTCCTCGCAACTGATCGAAGTGAGTAACTAACGACAGTAACCACAACGCAACGGTTCCTTGCAGTTACCAAGTGACGTCATCACCAATGGCATCATCTAAAGCTAAATATGGTTGGTAAATAGATGCACATTGTTTGTCATAAGGGATGCTTACCTTTCGGTCTCCTTTTTTCTACATAAAGGCTTCATATATCCATTTTGTTGAAAAGAAAACGTCAATGCACGTACGAAATTAAATGTATTGTGACGTCATAGGGTGGGAAACAGAACGCTGCTTCAGAGCGCGAAAACCTTCGACAAAAGAAACATGTTTTTACCGTTACATATGTACTTGGGCCTTTGAATGGAATAGGTTCAACATGTATGTTGTTGTTACCCCCCCCCCCCAAAAAAAATCTTTAAAGTATAATGATAGATAAATAAATAATTAATTAATGAACAAATAAATAAATAAATAATAAATAAATATGACAAATAAACAAACAAAACAAAAATTTGATAAAAGATAAATAAATAAAATACAACCTAATACTCGAGGTTTACTGCTGTACATGTATATTGAAATACATGTACATCCATTTTCTTTACTGATATTAAAATCCGAGAGATAAAACGGAGATAAAAATTTTTTTAAATTTTTTTCTCGCCTGATATCGCCGGATTCTAAGTCTCTTTGTATTAGTGATGACTTTCATTCGATTCCTGTCTTCATTAAATTTTTACGACTTTAATATGGCGTCGAATGACATGTACAGCTAGTAAAAGTATTGTCACTGATGAGAATTTAATTAGGTTAGTTGAATTGTTGTCTCGTGACATTTAAAGATTAAGGGAGCTCTAAACACTGACAATCAGGATAATTTAGGACTTTATAGAAATATATTTTATAACTGAGTTCATTAATGATTTTTTAAAAATATTTTCATACAAGGATGCCACCTTTTTTAATGAAATAAAAATGATAGAAATAAGGGAATATGTAGGAAAGTGAAAAAATGTTTATTTTTTACATAAATAATTTTCTCCAAAATTTCTCGAAGTCCTACATCATTGTTACATAAACCAACATACAAAAACAATTAAATACATAGAATGACCCCAACAGTTCAGAAATATTTTGACATTTTATACAAAAGATTATAAAAAATGTAAGGATAATCACAGATATTTTTTGTACATATGGAATTTCTGAATTTTTCTACAAATTTAAATAAAGGTTTTGCCATTTGGTGTACAAAAAATCATATCTTACATAGTGGAGCCAGGTTTATAAGAGAGATAAAAAATAAAATAACATATAACTTTACAATTATAAAAACAAAGGGAAGTAACTCTTTACAACTGACTTGACAAATAATTGGACACCGAGTTGATTATTTTTTTACACTTTGTAACTCTTGCTTTACCATTTACAATTTCTTGAAACAAGTTTTTTACTCCATCTTCACCATTTCTTGTGTGTGCTAGTTTAATATAATTCATATTCAATCCAGATTTTGCAATTTTATTTGCCATAAATTCTGTAATCACTTTTCCATGGACTAAGACATCAAGAGATTTCAAATTGTCATTCTTTACTGAAGAAAACTTTAGATGCTGTAAAACATAATCGTACATGACACTTTGACTCAACAGAGTGTTGAAAGGAATGTTATGAAAGTTCACTAAATTTTGTAGGTCCATAGCATCAGTTAGAGCACAATGAGAAACCCCTGTTGACTGGATTCCTGCATCTCTCATAAGAGACTCCTGAGAAAAACTGCCAGTTTGTGTCTTTAAATCAGAATTTTTAAAAACATCCAAAGTGTCGATAAAGCCGGCAATACATGTATTCATCACAATATTTTGTGACATAATGTTTTGAATAAATAATGGAAAGTCAAACCGTAATCCATTGTGGCTCACAAGAATGTTAGAATTCGAGTCCGATAGCCACTCTGAAAACTTTTGGAGTGCTGATTTCAAGTCTGTTGTTGCAAGTTTTTGATCCCTGTAGTAAAGTTCATGGTTTTTCATATGGAGACCAGTCACACAAGTTGCATTTGCAGATATTGTACCATTGGGTTTTATGTATTTTTGAAATATATCCTGTCCTCTTGTAGCTCCTATTTCCAATATTTCTGCTGATGAACCTATAAGACAAATCTGAGACAATGTATCTCTAGAAAAAAAATGGATATATATATATCAATGTCTCATGGAAATACATGTGTATATATATCTGTATATAAAACTTTACCTAAACCTGTTGTTTCTAGGTCAAAGTAAACAAATGTGCTATCAGTATTTCTTAGTGGTATTCTCTCTGGTTCAAGTGGCACTTGGAATGGAATTGATGTCCTGCTCCTCATCCATTTTCTCTAGTCCAACCGACGTTTCATATGTTTTTCCTTCACGCACTTCTTTACAACCCTGATCTTGACTTGAGGATTTCCTAATTTTGCATCTCCTTTTCTTGTACTCTGCACTACTCTTGTCTTATCTTCTGTAACTTTCTTTTTCTGTCCATCTTTTCAACCGCCTTTTCTGTATAGGCTCCAGGAGACATATTCAGTTCATCATTGACCTGTAAATATACATGTAAACATAATCATTACTCATTTACATGAAATGAGAATACATGTATATGATTATTTTATATTGCATAATTTTTTCGATTATTCAAATATACTTACTTCTTGTATATAAGACTTTCCAATGTTTTTTAGGGCTGAAACGATACGCCCCCTCCACGATACGATACGTATTGCAATACTTGTGTCACAATTCAATTTTTTCAATACGATACAATTTAAGAACGAAACTATTCATAAGGTTAAAGAAAACGTATTCAGATTTCAAAAAAAGAGTAAAAGGTGGTGATACAATAGAAATATACTACCAGGGGTATGCAATTTAAAAATTCAAGTACTAGCCCACGGGCTAGTGGCAGCAATAAAGTTACTAGCCCCAAGTAAAAAGTCACTAGCCCAAATATAGGGACAAAAATTAAAATAAAACCAATGTTGAAAAAAAATAATCATTGAAAAAGTCAGGGTACTAAGGTCATTCTTTTGAAAATTAAAATTTTATTCTCACTATCAAAATTAAATCATATAAAATTAATGATTATGACAGAAAATTAAAATGAATTTAAAAAAATTATCTGAATATCTTTCCTTTTCTGATTATTTTGCACTAGCTCATTTAGAATGAAAATAAATTCATTTTGTTTTCATATTAAATCCTTAAATACACTAGAAATATATTTCATGTGAATCACACTGATCTTTCAGTTGATTGAGTGATCGTAAATAATTTAATGAGACATCTGCATGTATTTACAATAGATCGTTTTTGGAAGTAAATAAGTCAGATAGTACTGCAAAATGGAGAAAATTATGGAGATTTATTGACAGTAGGAGCATGCTGCCTGGAAAATATTCACTGGTTGGGAATTTGATAGCAAAAGATGAGTAAAATACCGGTTGTACTTTTCATGTATTACATGCGTAGTTATAACTTTTACTAGCCCGAATTTACTAATTTGTTAATTGCACATCTCTGATACTTGTGGTTCTGTTGATTAAGAACACTTTATTCGTATAAATAATAGCAGAGGCAGCCTACTCTGAAACTTTACCGTCCCAATTTTCTCCCTCGTGTGTGTCAAACTGTTAAAATAAGGTCGAATATTTCAAAGAGTTAACCAAACCCGATTATAAAAAACGTATCGAACCGAAAATCGAGAGGGTGAATCGAACATTGAACCGAGCACTTATATCGAACAATATCGATATTTCGGTGAATCGTTTCAGCCCTAATGTTTTTCTGTGCAACAGCTGCAGCGATTCTGAAACTTGTACTTTCTGATCCTGACAGAAAGAGGCTCTTTGGATTTTTTGATGCAACGATGTGATTAAAACTTTCACATGCTTGTGTCGATCCAAGATCAGATAGTTTATCAGCTTGTTGTGCATACGTCTGAATAATGGCTTCCAAGTCCTTTTTCAACTCTGGACATGTTAGATACCTGCTGTATGGAAGATTCCGTGGAAGGTAACTTGCTGGAATCCGTTTATATTTACACCATGAAGGGCATGCCAGATGGTCTCCATACATATGAGGAATAATACACAATAAGGATTTTTTCAACTCTTCAGGTTTTTTCTGGTTCTGGGCAAGAACATAAGAAAAGCATTTCTTTAGGTGTGTCATAGTTTTTCCTCTAAGTTGTTGATACTTTTTGAATCTTTGCAAATCATACAGTTTGTTTGAAAATGTTTTCTTCAGGTGATTTCTGTCACTGAATTTTGTAATACTTTGCTCACACTCTTTCCTTGCACGTGAAATAGTCGTACTGTCATCATCCATTACTAATTCCTGTGGATGGATATGATCTTTTTCTAAGTCTTTCAACATCCCCACAATCATGTCAGGCTCCATAGCTTTGGCTGAGCCATCCCAATTCTTCCTGGAAATTAAAATATAAAAATAAACATGTAAAAAATATAAATATTATACACTGTATTAATTAAACAATAAAATACTTTCTTTGTTTGTTATTACTGGAATGAACGGAAGCAGCTGTTGCAGAAAAAATACATAACCCGCTTACGCGGGTTATGTAAATTTTTTTCTGCAATAGCTGCCACTGTTCATTCCAGTAATAACAAACAAAGAAAGACATTTTATTTTTTATATTTATATCTGTTTAAATAATCAATTAAAGTAGGATTAAAAAGATTAATTATTGTATTAAGGATGCGAACGTCTTTATACGTTTCATTGATGGAACAGCAACTGATTAAGAAATCTGTACCGGCGACATGCCTATTGTAGTTTATGCAGTGATGAACGCAATGGGGTTTCTTAAGAAATAAAGGAGAAAATATTCAGTGGATGTAAATATTTTGCAGTGACCTTCAATCACTATTGATTTTTTTTTACTTTACATATTTATTTTTATATATTATACATTTGATACTTATCAACTTTTTACCTGCAGTCATGGTCAATGGGCTGAATGCCTTTTCTTTTTGCATTTTCACAAAGTCTGCATTTTCTGCATCTATAATCATACCGCACTATTTTCCCAGATTTATCACCTATTAGTGAACTGTGACCTGTGGTTAAAAAAATAAAAAGAGATATATTCATAATCACCTCATAAATAAGTTTTATTTTCAAAAAGAAATATTTTTTTTCAAAGTTTCTTCTTGAATGCATACCTGAATAGCTGTTATATTTCCTTCCACTAGATCTTGTTTGCCATCCAGCATCAGCCGCAACTCTTATTTCAACTTTCCTAAAAATATATAATAAAAAAACTACAGTCATTGGAGAAATGAGAAAGACAAAAGGGTGTTGAGATCATGACGTTTGGTATATTTTTTTCATAAAATGTAATTCTATAAAATTTACCCATCATTCAGTTTTATTTCTTCATCAAGAGCCTCACTGCAACTTTTTTTGGCAACAGATTCAATAGCCTTTCCTGCTTCTCTGTCTCTTTTCTTGACTGTTCCAGCCGCTACACCAGGGATATTCAATGAAGCAAATAACATTTGTAGATTAGAGAAACCTATTCCACTGCTGGTAATACCTACAAGGCACAGAATGAATTGAAAATAAAATATTATTCACTGTTAAATATGCTGCATTATTAAATCATATTGCAAAGTTTTCTGAAATTACCTGCACCAAGCTTAGTATTCACATCCCAAATGTTTTTTTCATGCCGCTTTCCATTGGGGATGTTTGAAATAAAACTGCATATAGTACACTACAAAATTAATGAAATATTTCATATGAATCAAGGCGATTACTTACAAACTTAAGTTCATTTATTATAAGTGTGTATATTGATGATGATGAATTTGACATTTACCTTTATGTACAAAATACTTCCAAGGTCATAATGCCTCTCTTGAAAACAATCACACAGATGTAATACAGTCCCACATTTCTTGCATCCTTTCTGTAGCTGGGCTGCTAGCACACCAAGTTCAACCACTCGACGACCCTTTGTATGATACATGTATTTGTTTGAAAGTAAAATTGATATAAAAAAATATCAATACGTAAAATACCATTGTAAGACAATGAAAACAGAAAAGGGAATTGATGAAAACTAAAGTTCATTTTTGCATTCTACATGTTTTGTGCACATTCTATGTAAAACGTGTAGCTTGCAGAAAGCCTTGAAAAAAGAAAACTATTATTTTTGAAGTTGTTTTATAATATTGTCAAACATTTCACTTGTTTTACAAACCTATAAAATAACAGAGACCCTTTCAAAATAACTGTAATGTACTATTATTTTGCAGGAAAATTTCTTGGTGAAATATGACGTAGAGGCAATTGTTAAATATACATAATTTAATATCTATCAACAAAAACTTTTCCATACGTTATTAACTTGATTAATTTGCCCTGCAAAAGAGTAGTAACACAGTCATTGTCTAAAGGACTCATGCCTCATATAAGGTTTACATTTAGAAATACCTCATGCCAGTCAAGTAGATTCTTTGAAACATCTGGGTGCAAAGTGTCTTCCTCATTAGTTTCGTCGGGCGGATCGTCGTTTCTATCGTCGCCTGTGTAATCTTCATCGGATGTATCTAATTCATCCTCGTCCTCTTCATCATATTCCGACCAACCCTCGTCAATGCTGGTACTCATAATATCTTTACCATGGTCTTGAATAATCATGATCCATCCTTAACAAAATTTCGATAAATATAATAAAAACAAAATATACTATTACTTCTAAGGACATGATGTTTTTTTTTTTCAAGTTTCCGAAAGCCGTTTTAGAATTAGAATGACTATCGTGCAGTTACCTGGAGACCTCTGTTTTTCTTTCAATTGCTTCAGATGTAGGAATTGGAACAGACTTTATTTTGGGGCGAAATCTTCCGCTTTTATACCGTTTTCTCAAACATGTCAAATTAGTGGACATGCTGTCTGTCATCTTCGTCACTCTTTTCCTACCTTTTTATCCTAAAGAGCGGAAAGGGGAGTAATTCATTTTATATTTTTAGAATATTAACGGAATTTTTTTTCCCGAATAAATACGAAGGGCGGATCACTCCAAGTTCCAAAAAATACCGAAGCTACCGGAAGACTCTTTAGGTAGTGCAGTGTTTAGAGCGTCCTTAAGGAATATTTTCCAAAGTTCACCTGTATATCGAACTGTTTATTACATAAAGAATATACTTTAGTTTATTATAGATATCTTTTCATGTTGCTAATCTTTTTCATGTAAAAAGATAAGCCTGATGTAATATAATTTGTTATCTCGCATTTTTAGAATATAACTTTTGATATTTCAGCTTAATTCGGTCTACTTTAATTTTATTTTTTCAAAGAAATTTCTTTGAAAGGAAATTGCTTTCCTCAATGTTCGTATCAATTTCAAAATGAGATAACGTTCCCTTTGCATTGTAAATGGGTTGTTCGGCGAGAGGAGACTAGTACTCTAGGAGTTGTATAAATTACTTATGACCCATTTATATCTTTAATTTCTGTAGTTTTATTTCTCTGTTACATTTCCCTCCATTTTGTGTGTGTGTTTTGTCATATTCTATTCCAAAACACCTGTCCGTAGGATGAGGACTGACTACTGTATATAGATAACATTTGCATATGCGTACATATGTAATGCATGGAACGAGCGAACTGTTATCACCCATTGAAGAAAACGTGCTGTTTATTTATTTTCTTTTATTTTATTATTTGAATTAGACTGTTAACTATTTAAAAACAAATTTAATGGTATTATTGTTAACTGTAATCGATTTATGTCATTGATGAATTTCATTCTGAAACCATCGATTTCTTAGAGAAGTATTTGCATTTCTTTTCTTTCTTTAAATGCCCGAATTGTTCTTGTTCGAGACAAGAAATTCTCGACGAATTCCGGCAATACTAACGCCCTTTTTTCTAGAGAATAGGATGAAAATCCTCCCATATTTAGGAATTTTTGTTTTTGCTGTGGGTCGTGGAGTGGGTACACGATCTAAACCCAGAGGTCATCTTCAATATTTTGGATCTCATCAGTCTGCAGAGGGAGAGATTGAAACACTGAGCAAATTTCCAACTCCAGAGGACTTTTACGATATGTATGTGCTACCCAGAATTCCTGTCAAGTTCCGTCAAGTCCTCGATGCACACAACATGCCAGCCTTTAGTCTATGGACGGACGATTACTTGCAGTAGGTTGATTGAATTTCTGAAGAAACCTTTGGGTAACTGGGGCTTCTGAACCGATTCTTCAGTGTCATAACTTTTTTTATTTAACGCCGTTATAACCAAATTCGGTACCTATAGGCATATCTTAGCGATAAATTCGCGCACTTTGCATAAAAAAATTTGAATAAATAAATAAATCATGTGAAGATATTTTTTAAAAATGATTATTCAAAATTTAAAACTGCAAATAAAGGGTCAAGGAGTTTGTCAGAAATTTAGTAAAAGAGTTTGATTTTTATATGTAATTCGACACAATAAAGTTCGTATGAATTTGAACTTTGCTATAGGCATATCTTAGCGATAAATTCGCACAGTTTGCATAAAAAATTGAATAAATAAGTCATGTGATGATATTTATAAAAATAATCATTCAAAATTCAAAACTGCAAATAAAGGGTCAAAGAGTTTGTCAGAAATTTAGTAAAAGAGTTTGACTTTTATATATAATTCGACACAATAAAGTTCGTATGAATTTAAACTTTGCTCTAGGTGGCATATATTCAGAAAAACTTGTTATTAAATTGACATATAATATTAATATTGCAGCACTACTTTTGGACGGGAAATTATGTATGCTGAGTATGGAAAAAAGGAAGATATGGACAATTCGTACCGTTATTACAGACTAGCCGATTTCATGTATGATTACACCTTTAAGGACATCTACATGTATCAAGATGTCCCAAAGAGCATGCAGGGTAGGCTACTTATAATCTGTAGCTTTTTGAATTCCAAAAAAATATGTTCCCACAGACGGCTAGATACCAAGTCGAGATACTGCAAGAGTTTGTTTAAATAAATTGCATAAATTGGTAGAAAATACCAGGAAAAAACTATAAGTGTAGGCAGTATTTTAGTAACTACATGTAGTATAGTATTTTTAACAATTTTCAAATTTGATCGTTAATTTATTGGATTCATTTAAATTTTTTGTTTGTAGCAAATGTAAGTTTGCCGTTTTGTTTGTTATGCTCCTTTGAGCGCATGATCCAGCGTGTGATCGTCTGGATGAGCAGTGGAGGTATTCAGACAATTCTACGGAAGGACATCTTTGAAAGTGTCTACTGTCTACTAGACGGAACAAAAGATGTCTACCTCATAGACAGCGTAAGACTGGTTAATAAAAATCAAATATAATTTTTTAATTGATCGAAAATTGAAAAATGACGAAAAGAGCTCGTCTTCTTTCATTCTATGCATAGATTTCCGCATTTCATAATTTACACAAAAAGCAAATGAAAAATAAATTGTACACAAATAAAAGGAAAAAAAACGAACCAACAAACAGTTCCACATATTATTGAGACAGACCTAAAAATATTTTTATAATTAATTGAAATTTCCCAAAAAATTCTAAAATTATAAATCAGGGACAAGGAGATTTAGTGGAGAAGCGACATTGGAACGAGGCTGGTGCATATAGCGAAGTGGATGTAGAACACGTAGACATGTTCCGGTTCCCAGAATTCCAAAGTATTCAATGGTGGAAGTCCAGTTTAAATTCTGGAGACTGTATCTACATACCCAAGGAGTAAAGTTTCATTTTTATACGTTTTAAAAAGTTATGAAATATCAATAATATCATGGTTTAATTACTAAATTCAAGTACAGTTGAAGATAAGTTTTATTCTTCTGTGAACTAAATATTACAACTTATTATCGAGAAAAAATGAATGAAATAAAAATGAAAGCTTGAAAAGCTAAAAGTTCTAAGCATTTTAATTTGTATTTCAATTAATTTAAATTATTAATTAAATTTGATTTTACGTATCGATTCCATTTGTTTTTATCTTTCAGTTGGTATCACCACAGTCGCAGTGGAGACCAGAGAACTCTAGTCATCAGTTACCAATTCCTGCGTCCGCTCTACTTTAATGTTTCAGGATGTCCACGAGTCCAAAGTATAGAGAAAATCCGGAACATGACAACTGTTACTCTTCTTTCAGATCTAGAAAAGAAAAGGTACAAGTCCTACGACCTGCGATGTAACAGAAGCATTGCGATTCATTGTGTTTCTCCCTCCAATTTAATATAAACATGTGAGCTTTTAGATCATGATTTTTGGATGAAAATGACGTATCCATTTATTGGTAAAAAAAACAAGTCCTTTGTTGTTTGATTGATTTAAGCAGAAAAACATAAAAAATGGATTAATATTGAAATATGAGGTTTGCATGCAAGTATAAAGTATCTGCATGTACATGTGTAATTTAAAGAACAGCAACATAACTTTTTGAGACTCGGAAATATTGCCTTGCTTTCTTCAGTAACTTTAGGAATGTAAGCAATTACAAATACTATACAATTATTGCTGTTTTTGAGGTCAATACAATGATTTAGCCATCGTAGGAGTAGAATATTCACCGAGCCCGAAGGGCGAGGTGAATATCTTACTTCGAAGATGGCTAAATCATTGTATTGACCGAAAAAATAGCAATAATTGTTTTATTATATGATTCACTGATAAAATGGTACAACTCATTACTTGTTTGCATTTGATTAAGTCCTAGCCAAATACAAGAGAGAATCAGAATTAAATTGTAAATAAACCTAATTCCTTACCAGTTGTATCAATTTAAAATGTTTTTTATCAATTTTAGTTGCCATGAAAAACAAGAGGCCCATGGGCCACATCGCTCACCTGAGCACTGTGGCTAGGAAAAAAGTAGAAATTGGTTTATTATTGAAAAGTTTAAATCCAAAAGTAAACCTTTGACCAGTTATGGTTTTGCTATTCTTGAGAAAATGATTTTTAAAAGAATTTTCCTATATATTTCCATGTAAAACTTTGGTCGGCCATTGTAGCCCCGCCCTACCCCCGGGGGTCATGATTTGAACAAACTTGAATCTACACTACCTGAGGATGCTTCCGTAAAATATGATCAATTAAGGCTTTGTTATTCTTGAGAAGATGATTTTTTAAGAATTTTCCTATATATTTCTATGTAAAACTTTGGTCGGCCATTGCAGCCCCGCCCTACCCCCGGGGGTCATGATTTGAACAAACTTGAATCTACACTACCTGAGGATGCTTCCGTAAAATATGATCAATTAAGGCTTTGTTATTCTTGAGAAGATGATTTTTTAAGAATTTTCCTATATATTTCTATGTAAAACTTTGGCCGGCCATTGTAGCCCCGCCCTACCCCTGGGGATCATGATTTGAACAAACTTGAATCTATACTACCTGAGGATGCTTCCATATATAAATATGATCAATTATGGCTTTGTTATTCTTGAGAAGATGATTTTTAAAGAATTTTCCTATATATTTCTATGTAAAACTTTGGTCGGCCATTGTGGCCCCGCCCTACAACAGGGGTCATGATTTGAACAAACTTGAATCTATACTACCTGAGGATGCTTCCATATAAATATGATCAATTATGGCTTTGTTATTCTTGAGAAGATGATTTTTAAAGAATTTTCCTATATATTTCTATGTAAAACTTTGGTTGGCCATTGTGGCCCCGTCCTACCCCCGGGGGTCATCATTTGAACAAACTTGAATCTACACTACCTGAGGATGCTTCCATATAAATATGATCAATTATGGCTGTGTTATTCTTGAGAAGAAGATTTTTATAGAATTTTCCTATATATTTCTATGTAAAGATTTGGTCGGCCATTGTGGCCCCGCCCTACCCCCGGGGGTCATGATTTGAACAAACTTGAATCTACACTACCTGAGGATGTTTACCCATAAGTTTCATCTTTCCTGGGTCAGTGGTTCTTGAGAAGAAGATTTTTAAAACATACCACCAAATTTTAATTAATTCCCAATTATCTCCCCTTAAATGAGGGCGTGGCCCTTCATTTAACAAACTTGAATCCCCTTCACCCAAGGATGCTTTGTGGCAAGTTTGGTTGAAATTGGCCCAGCGGTTCTTGAGAAGAAGTTGAAAATGTGAAAAGTTTACGCCGACGATGACAACAACGACGACAACGACAGACAACGGACAAATTTTGATCAGAAAAGCTCACTTGAGCCTTCGGCTCAGGTGAGCTAAAAATATATAATGTCAGTCTTTTTTATAGGATAGATTTTGAAAAGAATGAGTATTATCAGGGAAAACTGACTGCCAAAAAGTAAAATTTGTTGTTCAGTGTCGGAGGGGGGTCCCTGCATCCTTACCACCCTTACCCAAAAATATATATTTGCTTATGTTTTGTTCACATGTAAAAAGAAGTCATAGTCATTTAATTAGCTTTCCAAAACAATTTATATCAATTTGGAATTTCCCGATCTATTTTTAGATCAATGTAGGGGAAATAAATCCTTGTATTCACCTGGAACGTCACGTGCAGGCCAATACAATGTAGTATTTTTCTAACATAGTTGGATCTCAGCCAATCAGAGAGATGGAAATTATTCAATCATATAATAAATGTAATTCTTTACCTGTCATCAGGATAGATATGTTGAGTAACTTTGAGGGTTTGGCCGAGGTACAGCTGTCAGACCTGGAACAGCTGATTCGTCTCCGTAAGGATCAGGACGGCGATTATATAAGGGTGGGTAAAGTAGCATATCAACTCAAGTACACCATTCTTCTGAATTATATAATTATAATAAAGATAACGAACAGCATTCAAGCTCAAAAGTCCTTTAAAAAACAATATAAATCAGGAGCAGAGCAACCACGGACCGCTAAAACATCAGAGTTGGGATTAGGTGCCATTGAGGAGTGAACATTCCGTGCCAACCGGTCAAACCTGCCATGTGCTCCTTGTCAAGATCGGGAAATAATCAATCTGATTAAAATCAGATCCTTTGATCCGCTCACATAGATCGCTAAACAACCTTGTAAAGCAATCTATGTGATCGGATCAAAGGATCTGATTTTAATCAGATTGGGGAAACAATTCAAATAATGGAAACATCCGCCGACAAGTTGCACGCAAATTATTCTAAAATGTATTCCAATGAATTTGAATGAAATATAACTGTAAGAATGGGATCGGATTTATACAAACAAAAAGTCACACTAATATATTTTTAAAGAATTGGAAACTTAGCATTCTATTTCTAGAATTTCATACATTTCTTCTGAATCTTGCCACTATTGAACAAACTACCTTGGCTCAGTCAGAGTAATGGTACATTCTTTGGTAGAGCAATGTACAGAGTATATACATGTAACTAAATTCAGTGAAGTTTATTATAGAACTACAAATCTTGTCACAAGCAATCATGCGAGGAATGGGCATCTGTTGAACTCAAAATCTGTGACCAATACCTAAAATAAATTTGACTCTAGCGTTCAAACCACCTTGCTTCAATGTCAAGGCACATCTGATGATCTCTTTCCTAATACCATTCTTAGGTCCTTTGTCAAATACGCTTGTATACTAAGAGCGATAACTCTAACTGAGATCGATCACTGTTCGTAATGTTCATCCTTTTCAATCTAAAAAAAATCAAATATTAAAATGAAAAACTTCAATAATCGATGTCAATCCACTTTAATTCAACTAATTCAACTTTCATATATTTACACAGTTTTTCAGACTGGTGGACAAAAATAAAGATCGAAGACTGACTTGGGATGAACTTTACAATTTTGAAATGAAAATCGCCATGACTGTTGCCAAGTCGCTGTTTCGTGTTGAAAAACGCGTGAAAGAGAAACCAAGCTACAAGGTTCAACTCAACTTCGCAAGTCCGCAGGCGCAGAGACTGTACGAGGAAGTCCATAGCCACGCCCACGACGAACTCTGACGAGGATCGGGATATTTTTCATATGTATTTGATGTCTATTTGTATTGATACATTACATTAAATATGATTTTGTATTAAGATATTCAATTAATTTATATGTACATGCATAATATACGTGTTATAAAATGAAATGATTAAAGAAAAAAAACTATCTCTGACCCGTTTCTCAGAGTTGCCTCAAATACAGTCAATTTTGAATACATGTAGCATAATAAATCGAACTCTGCAGAAGGCAATGACTTTATGTACAGTGTGCTTTATGAATAAGGAAATAAGACATTTATTTGCATTTCAATTTTATTAACTTATTAAATCATCTACAGACGTCAAAATATATCAGGATTCTTTCACGGCATTATCTTTCCGTCGATCCAGCATTTCTTTCAGTTTGTATATTTGGTAAAATGCAGCAACAAAACATCCTACAAGTAAAGTACATTAGCTTTAATGACCAAGTGCATCATCTAACAACTTCTTTAAAAACATGTACATTGTTCTTGAGTCATCTTGACGCTTTTGTTCTTAGTCGCACTTTACCACTATACTAGACTTGCTCAAGTCTCTATGATTTAGTGCTCTCTTTTATACTTTTTGATAATGTCAAACATAGAATCTATGTTTGATAACATTTAACTATGGTAGAGAGCAAAGGACAGAAATAAAAAAAATGAACAAAGAATTGAAAAAAATAAAAACATAGAGAGTTGAGCAAGACTACCACTCTACATGTAAATCCCTTCTATAAAAGTGATCAAAAGTGAGCTCATTTGAGTTTTATGGCCCCGGAGCCTGGTCAACTGATCTCGGAGTCCAACACTCAAATATAAAGTGATATGAATAACATATTGATTTTTTATCTTTAACAATACTGTGTACTTACCACACCCAAAAAAGGAATGCGCTGTAAATATAGCCAGTACAGTGTTTTTATTTTTCAGGTACTTTCTCATGCTCTGTTTGTATTTATCAGTAGTAGGAATAGTAAGGATGGCTGTTCCATACATAGTCAATGTAGCTATGACAATAGCTTTACACGCATAACAGTCATCCTCCGGCTTGGCCTCTTTGGCTTTAGAATGTTCCTCATTCTTTGAGTCTGCCTCTTGCTGTATTGGCAATGAATTTTGCTTGATTGGTTTTTCTATTTTAGTTCCTGTTTTCTTTTCATAATAATTTACAAAAGGTTCTATTAATAAATCATACAACTTGCCCATATTTAACCTGAAAGAAAACAGAATCAAATTAAAATACATTTGTATGTTCTACTATTTTTTCAATAGTAATTACTTGTTTAAAGCCATATATGGCGTAACTGATCAAAAAATTATATTTTTGAAAAATACAAAATTAAGTAAAGAAATATAGGTAATACATTTAAATTAAAGCATTTCATACAATTCTGAACACGGAGAACACCGCGTTTCATCTAATAATACAATTTCATCTTCTCTGTAATGTGTTATTTAAATCTTTTGTATTTTCTTCCGAGTCGGAGAAAATTCCGAGAATCCAAATTAAATTGCGATATCTTTACAACGCAATTGACTTAGAATTTGTAATTTACGGAAAAGTTCTATCTTTATATAAAGTAATGATACAAATAATAAGTTCTTAAAATTTTAGTCTATTAATTTTCATTGTTCATACGCCATATATGGCTTTAATAAAAAACGACAATTTATTGACATCAATTTTTAAAAATTTTGTTTGTATTTCATATTCTTATTCTCCAGAATGCATTATGCCATTGCAATACTTTACACAGAAAAGAAATCGTTTTAATTGTCTTCTTTTGTCTCAGTGTGTGTGGTTGGTGGGGGTGGGGGGTGTTAAGCACTTTCTTTTTTAAATTATACTCACAAGTACTTGTCCTTGCTGGAGATATGCAACATGCATGCCTTGGAACCGAGAAGCGGGGGGGGGGGGGAATAATTTTGCTGATATATAGAATACTATATCAAAAATTCTGAAGACCTTTTTTAAAATTATTTTATTATTTATTTGCTTTTCAAGGAATATATGGTGGTTGAAAGTGCCCCAACTGAAAAAAAATATGACTGTGCCCCAAACTGGAATTGCTCTCTACCGGTACAGGCCTGACATGTATTGTACAGTTTATGAAATAAAATAAAATGAGGAAATTCGAATTAAATAGTTCTGTCACACCGTTTAACAGATTTTTGTAAGGTCATCGACAAGAAATAAAATCAAACAATTCAATGGGGGAATATAAGCTGTACTGTTACAACCTTGATATAGAAAAAAAATTGCATATGCACATTAACGTTACCTTTTGCATTTCTTGCATCACACGTTGTATCAAAGACATCGGGTTCGGGATGCGTAACTATAAGGAAATTCGAACTAAAATGTGACTTCCAAAGCTAGCAACTGCATAATCGAAAAAGATGAATTTTTAGCATGATAAGTTGAAAATGATAACAACTTGCTTATTTTTTAATTATTTCCGAGAGAAGAATGCAGAAAATTTATTATCATCATTGAAGTGTAAGTATAATTTGGTTTACTGAATGAATTTAATCAAGTAAACGTTAACATTCTACAGTTCATTCTCTCCTGACTTTGGTGATGGTTTCAATGGTTTGAGAATAGAGTCAGGGTTTAGCCTTTGCAAAAGCTTGTCTACATCTCGAAACGAAATATTACACATGTGTCTCTCCTGAGCTACAACGTTAATAGCTGAAGAACTGTAGCTCTCTGCTTGAGAAAATTCGGAGATTATTCGTCCGAATTTTCTTCTTCCTATCCTGTGCCGACCTCGATATTGTGTGCAATAGATATGCTTTTCTCAAGCAGAGAGCTACAGTTCTGCAGCCTTAACGTTAATATCAGGCACATTAACAGTTGAAAGTAGTATAGCATATAAGGGCGTATGATTAAACTTTATTGGTTTTTTTTTACTATTAAGTATGCATGATGACACATTTTTCTTAACTTCCAATTGCAAATAGCAAGTTATCATTTTATCTGAAGGGAGCAAGGATCGACCTATTCAGACATACCGCATTATATTTTAATCTTAATAATTTCAGATGTAACATAGTAATGAGGATATTCTACAATTTGTTTATCAAGAGTGCTTTTTGTGCACCACAACTTAAAACCCAGGGTGATCAAAGAAACTTAGCCAGTGATCGGTCACCCAATGACTCGGACAATAATGCAGTAGCCTCTATAGCACAGGGACAGGAAACTAGTGAAGACCAAATAGATAGGACTGAAGACAGGAAAAAGTTCCATCGGTATCTTCGTTCATCTGTATTATCTTTCACAGCTGTCGGGTGTTTTGTGACACCTTTCACAAAGACATTTCTGGTGCGGATTGTGGAAAACAGAGTTCCATTTGCAATGTCATTTTACCTCCTAGGAACAAGTAAGTACATTAAAATCTTCCTTCTGCCTATTAGTTTAATAACAATCCCTCTATATCCAAAGTTAAAGATTGATTACAAACATATCAGTCAGTATTGTTGTAATTTGCATCTTAAATATGTATCCTTTTTCATACAGTTAAAGTTAAAATACTTGCACAAGTCCTTTTCGTGTTTCCAGCATGTTTGGTTTATGGGCATGCAGTTTAATACTTCTGACTTGGTGCCATGTATATAAGGAACAAAGGGGGGATAACTGAGGCTCTTACTTGTAAGAGTAATTGTACAGTGTACATGTTCAAAAACTTAGAATTACTATCATATTTTTTTTCTTTTCAGTATTTTATATACAGTCCCTGTACAGCTATTTTGGAATTAAACACCCACCTCTTCGACTCCTATACGAGGACCCAAAGGAATATAATAGAATGGACAATGAGAATATTAAACTGTTGTGTAGGAACATTGGATATGCCTTTATTAGTTTATATCAAAGAATGACTAAGAAGCAAGAAAAATTAGAAAATGAACTTGAGAGGAAATGATTGATTTTTTATATCTGTTTTAATTGATTAAAAAACTTACTTAAAAAAATAAATAAGATTTCAAAGCATTTTGTTGTCTTTGTAGAATTATTTTTTTGGCATACTTTTTTTCTGAACATTTTAGCAAGTGTTAGTTTCTCTGCATTAAACATTTTGCAAGGTCAGAGCACCAGAATGGACTTGGAGGTACCTATCCATAATGACATAAAAGTACAGAGTTATATGCTTTGCTTTCCTGGGCACACTGTCATAATGTGAGACTAGAAGCTATTCTTTGCTGTAATTTAATTTATATTGATACAATGTCAGGTCATCAGTTCTACACTAAGATAACGAATACCAGTACATGTATAGAAAAACATACCAATATATAGTAATAATGATGCTTACAGTGATTTGCATTCCCCATTCACCCCCCTTCCTGCTTTCTATGAAGGCCACCACTGGCATATATGTACATGGCTTTTCTTGACTATAGTATATACCGTAAATCTGGAAATTTTTGCTGTAGATAAATTTTTAGCAACTTTGCAAGTTCATTACATTCGCAAAAATTTGTTACTTAAAAATAAATTACTAATAAAAAAATGTTAACAAAGCAGTGGTCATTCGCAAAATTTTGAAACGTAAAAATTAATCAACAGCATTTTGACCTGAATTCGCAAAATAAAATCGACGTAAAAATTTTCAGATTTACGGTAATATTTCTAGCAAAGTGCAAGTTTGATTCATTATGAATGTAAATTGTTGTATCCAGTTTAATCTTATAAACTTCAGGGAATGAAAATCTTGAGTTCATTATAAGCATGTTTGCTTGACTGTTTACACTATATGTGTCAAGAGCACCAGGGTGGAACTCCCACCTACATGTACACACTGCAAAACTATATGGATCCAGGAAAGTGCTGCCAAAGGCCTCTTTACAAATAGTTCTGGTGGCAATACTGCCAAGTTCAAGGGCCTTGCCAGAACAATCAGAATGCAGATCAAAAGTCTATAGTGAACCTTTACAAGAGGCTCAAGGGCCACATCACTCACCTGAGCACATGGGCTAGTTAAAAAACACAAATCAGCTCAGTTTTGAAAAGTTTACTTGATGGGGGAGAAGGGATTTGAATTTTTTCTTACTTGAGAATGTCATAATGTCAATAAAACATACATGATTAATTTTGCCATACTTGAGAAGAAGAGTGTTAAAGATTTTTCCTATGTATTTCTATGTAAAAATTCGATTGCCCATTATGGCTCCACCTTACCCCCAGGGATCATGATATGAACAAATTTGAATTAACTCAGGATGTTTCCATATTAATATCACCAATAATAGCTTTGCTGATCTTGAGAAGTAGATTTTAAAAATATTTTTCCATTGTATTCCTACATGTGTATGTAAAACTTATCCTCAGGGGTCATGATTTGAACAAGCTTGAATTTACACTACCTGAGGATGCTTCCACATTAGTTTCACCTTTCCTGGCCCAATGGTTTTGGAGTGAAAGATTTTTCCTATATATTCCTATGTAAAACTTTGATCAGCCATTGTGGCCCCGCCTTACCCCCGGGGGGGGTCATGATTTGAACAAACTTGAATCTACACAACCTGAGGATGCTTCCACGAGTTTCATCTTTCCTGGCCTAGTGGTTATGGAGAAGAAGTTTTTTAAAGCATGCCATTAATTTTTCATTAATTCACAATTATCTCCCCTTGGAAGAGGGCTTAGCCCTTCATTTGAATATATAAACTTGAATCCACTTCACCAAAGGATACTTTGTGGCAAGTTTAGTTGAAATTGGCCCAGTGGTTCTTGAGAAGAAGATGAAAATGTGAAAAGTTTACAACGACAACGACAGACAACTGACAAATTTTGATCAGGAAAGCTCACTTGAGCCTTCGGCTCATGTGAGCTAAACATGTTAAACTTTAATCCTTTGAGCTGAATCCCTACACATGATTATTCTGCAGACAAATGAACAAGAACTTGAAGTATACGGATAAAATATCTGTATTCAATAAAAATTATTTTAACTTCTAGCCAAACAATTTCATTCATACATAAACGATATGTGTATTTTAACTACGATATATTGCAATCTTGCAAAATGGAAAGTTATATGATAAATACTCATGTACAAGTCCTTTCATAAATTACCATGTTCAAATTCAGAAGAGGTAGATATACAAATGTATATAGAAAGAGATCTAAGAGACAATTTAACAGGTATATTTGAGCTAGCTGATACACCTGAACTGTATACAAGATATCAAAGATCACAAATTTAATGTACATGCACATACATGTATGCATTATGAAAACCAAATGAAAATTATCAATTAGAGAGCTAGATCTTAATATTGATTAGTATAATTAAGGGACTAAAAGAGATCCACAGAATGAGCTACAGAATTAAAGCTATGAAGAATGACTTAACTTCAACTTCCTTTTACATAACTTTCTTCTCTTCAGTGTTTGAACATGAGATCACCACTGACTGAGCGATTGCTGTGAGCATTTATATGAACCATAACATGACTCTATAGGCTTTAAGCTTAGATGTGACTACATAAATTATATACATATTAATGTTGGGAATTAAAAAATGGCTAACATTTTGAAAAAAATATTCCCATTTGTTCAATACGCATTTAATTTGTTTTGGCACATTATTAGATTTTGTGCAGCTCATAAATGTGTAATTATACTCATTATAGGTGTAAAAAAGTCATCATAAAAATTATTTTCAGTATAAAATATATCGGCCTCGCCAAAAGTCATTCAGCTTGGAAGATACTATCCTTTAGATGTAATCAACAAGATACCATATATTTAATGAATTATAAATATGGATAAAAGACTCAACCTTTTGCACACTGTACAGTAACAATTCAATCACACGGTAACAAATAATCAAAAATATTATCGTAAATGTTTCACATTTCTCAATAGAATACATAATTACATGTTTAACAAATCATCTCAGAGTAAAACAGATCAGTCTAAATTGTAGGTACCCAGTATACCAAGTACACAAATATACCTCTGTACTTTCACCGATGTACTTTTCCTTCTATTACACAAGCTATTTTCAGTCTATGGGTACTGTAAGTGCACTTAATAAATTGTTGTGAGCGAGTTACATACAGTGTATGTACGTGTACATGTATTGTATCCAAAACATTTTTCATATTATACTGGCTTCCTCAAAAAAAAAAAAAACAGCTGCCTCAAACAGGAAAAAGACAATCCACGTTTTCAAAAACTAGATGGTAAAAAGATTCGTTTTCTTTTTAAATTTTAAAATCTGTACTTTTCACTTTAGAGAAAATTTATTTCTATTAATATAGAAATTTAGTAATGGAAAGTTTTTTGTTGTTAATTGCTTGAATTCAAAGATCCTTAGGAATTTAGGTTCAATTACTAGTAGTAACTAGTCTTCTAACTGTTTGAAAAGGAACAATTGACATATTCTGCATTTCTCAAAATTAGAATATTGATAATCTCAGAACATAATTCAGCAATGCCGAGAGTGTATATATGACAAATAACTGCCCCTTTCTGTAAGTGTAAATTTGCTTTCAGTACTATAAAAATTTGCATAAAATGCAAGAGGAAAAAAATTGTTAAAGAAACAGAGAAATCTATAAATAGATATAATCACAGCTATAAAAACAGCTTCTACAATGCCAGTCTTTTTCATAAATTTTGAGAGAACAATTCCTCTGCTAGCTGGATCAGAGAGTGTTCTACCAGGAGGGAATGGACTTTTTCCATGGATATTCCGGATTCCACCAGCAGCTCCGGATGGTCCTCCTTCCCACTGTTGTAGTTATAGTACAGATACGGATGACCTTTCAGGAGCATGCCTGTCACTTGAGGCCTTTCTTTAATGACGATGAGTGGAGAACCTGAGGCCCCATGAGCTGTGCTCTTAGAGCAGTGGAATAAAATGTGATCTGTGGAGAGAAAACAAGGGGCGTAGTCTTTCTCCACTTCTTCCTTATCATGACCGAGACTTGTGAAGAAATTGATGCCCTTGTTCACTAGTTCAGTCAATTCTTCCTGATCATCTATGATTTTACATCCGGGGTCATGTTGAAGTTCGATCCCTTTCGGATGACCAATCACGTGGAGTTTTACACCAGGAATGTTGGTGTCCTTTAGTATAAGAGGCGGAGGAAGATTTTTCTCTTCTGAGAGTTCTAAGATCACAACGTCATGATGCTGAGATGCAAAAGGTATGTCATATGAGAATTTGAGAACACTCAGCATATCTGAATTACCACCCAGAAATCCAAATTTGATTAAAGCGGATTTTGTAATCATATCCTCTGCTATATTTATAATTTTCTCTAAAAAAGAGTAAAAGGTATTATAAATGTGATGGTTACAAATAACTTAGAGATGCACACAAAAATAGATTTGCATTTATCAGAAGAAGACATGAATTGTTGGGAAAAGGTATAAGCTAAAATGATTATACCCTGTTTGCTGGGGTCTAGAGATGATAAAAGGTTAGTAAGATTCCATCTGCCATCCACTGGCACATTTTCTGCAGTCCACCTCAATGGAAGTCTTTCTTCACCTTCCAGTCGGCTATAAACTTGCTTCCAAAATGGAACTAGAATGAAAAGAAGTATATATATATATCCTTTTTAAAACACCCATGAACCATCTTTTCCTCAAACCACAAAAATTTGACTCCACGAAAATATGTGATTTTACAGAAATTAGATACATGTATATTTAATATATATGAGCATTTACTTAGAATATCCTTCATGACATGGAATGCTGTCATGACGTACTTGCTGCCGACCCTGAACCCCGTTCCATTAGTCCTTGATTTAGCAGAGATTTCTATGCAGCCTATCCGCTTGTCCAGTTCATGGTCAACAATGACCTTCCCATCTTTATATGGATAACTGCTGTCTATATGCTTCCTGTGTAGTTCACCTTGCTGCATACTTGCTGATAATAGAAAGGTCAATGCATTCAGTATACCTGTACTCTGTTAACCTATATTATAACCAGATAGTTGATGGTTGAACACTGAACATGACCCCACCAAATTACATGTAATCAGGAGTAAATTCTTGCATTTGTGATTGAGGAATTGGTTAAACCATCTAGAGAATCAACTGTCTACCAACAAAAATGAAACTATTTCTGATGGAATTTGACTTTTCAAACTGAATGTGCTATATATAAATGTATTTACTTTAGATATTTAGCAATGATCTTGAATTACGGGATTCGGAAGCTGTTTTGTGACAAAGACATTAAAAGTCATACCCAGCCAAATATAGTACATATTCAGTAGTTGGTTTTCAAGATAACCTAATGCTTGTCAAGTAAAGAAGTGGCTTACATGGTTGTTCAATGGTATTTTCATGAAGAGATCTGAAGGAAACAAAATGTGCTCCTTTTCCGCCAACTTTCAGATGCCCAATAAAAACAGTTGGATTGAGTGCCGTTTCATGGGTGTGATTAAAGGGAATTGCATTGAGTTTGAAGCCGTTCATTCCAACCGATAACACAGTGACTGGAACATTGTATAGCTGGGCTAGTCCCAAGATCTCCAGACTCCCTCCCCACTCCCCATCTTGGATCTTTTTCAGGAATCTTTGCCACCGCAATTCTTTTTGATCCTCCTCTCCTTCCACATCCCTCTCTATTGCCATGTCTTCTGGTTCAAGAGCCCCACGGTCTGAATCTAATGGAAAACACAAAAAGTCTTTGTATGGCATTCCATCGGGATTGTTTGGATTGGATTCCAGATATTTGACTAAACGTTTCCTGAGTGCAGCCGGATCATCCGGTAGCCCATGCATGTCTTTACTCTGGTTGAAAGCATGGTATAAACAATGCCCATCTCCTGGTACATCCACAACTTTCAGCTTGTATTGTGACTTTCGGGCTAACATATCTAAATTTTTTATCTCTCTATCCAGATTTGTGACAAGTTTCTGAAAAATACATAATTAATAAAATTGTATCAGCTAGTTCTACTGATGTTCCTTATTTTACATCTCACAGCACATTCTGGATGCACTGAATATTGTTCCATGCTTCTCTTTTATGAGATATCTGTAAGATAATTTATTATCATTCATGCCCTACGTATACTGTAAACCAACTTTTATTCGTGTGCGAGAAATTTTCGCGAAGTTCGCGAGAGCCTCATAATCGTGAATATTTCTCACTGCGAACCGGTCCTTATAGTCTCTGTGTCTATTAACTACAGATTTAAAAAAAAACATAATCGCGAAAATTAATCGTCGCTAAGTTGTTTACCCCTGGTAAATCGCGAAATAAAGTCGCGAATAAAAGTTGGTTTACAGTATACCCATCATTTTATGATGGCTGTAATCACAATTCATGAAAATTTTGTCTTGCTAAGAAAGAGTAAATATCCATCTCAGGAAAATAAGGTACGTGTCATGAAATTTTAGTGATCTTACAGTTCTTAGAATTGAAAATTTTGACCTTACCACACAATCATTGTACAATATTTTGATAACAATTGTGTTGCCACTTACATGGATCTGACATTTTATTTCAGTTTATTTATTTATGGATATAAAATTATCAGTTAAGCTTACCGGTGGTACAAGAGGTGTGTCACTGCTACAAGAAGAATCATCATCTGAATCTTCATCCTAAAAAATTCCATTATTCATCTCATTAATATTTTACAGCTGATTAAACTACTTTCAAAATCTCTTTCAGAAGTTCTTAAGCAGGTGAAAAAAATGTAATGCTAACTGACAAGCAGTTATACATACCTTTTTCTTTTTTCTCTTTGATTTTTTCTTTTTCTACAAATATTTTTTAAATGGTAATATTCATAAAAATATGATGTTACATGTACATGTATGCAGAAATACTCCAAAATATAAAACATATAGTTTCTTTAGCTTTCAATTGACAGATTTTAGGGGTGCTATATGGAATTAAGGCATACATGTATACATGTATCTGCATGTCGCCATAAAAGTTTAATTTTTGAAATCTCTCAAAATGTCATACATGTGTACTTATTGTACAGAAGAAATCACAAAATAGTCAAAAACAGTCAACATGTATACTGCACTTTTTTATTTTTAATAAAGAGGTACATGGGCACCAATGCTCACCTGAGTAACTTTGTTCTTTACCAGATGCCCCCCATTGTAATACCTACTGTAGTCCCGCCCTACCCCTAATGGGTCATGATTATAACTATTTAGAATTTATACTACCCAGGATACTTCCACAAAAGTTTCAGCTTTTCTGGTCCAGTGGTCCTTGAGATGTTGAAAATGAAAAATGTTTTACAGATGGACATACAGACAGAAAGAAAATGGGTGATCAGAAAAGCTCACTTGAGATTTCAGTTCATGTGAGCAAAAAACGTTGCACATGATACTTTGCGAGACATCATGAAAGATAAAATTCACTGCTTAAAAATAGAAAAATTTAAGAAGGAAAAGCAAACATTTCAAAGGATTTTTGGAATGAGAATGTACTAGTATACCTTGGTCTTGGGATTATATGTGACAACCATAGAACTGTTATCACCTATGACAACATTTTCTCCATGGTGTATATGAACCTCTTTAATAAAAGTTCCTGTGAATAGTAAAAAAGTATACAATTACTAGTTATCTAAATATGAGATATGCATGGACTTATAATTATATACATGTAGGAACATGTATAATTATAAAGATATGAGTGATCATATACAAATAAAAACAGTCTCCTTGCAAAGAAGCTAAAAGGCTTCTTAACATATGAAATATTTAGGAGTTTAGATAATAACAGGCATTCAGATGTAGAGACTGATTGATAGAATACACACATTTTGTATGTGGGGCTCTAATTACCTGCAATTATTTGTCCATTGTGTTGTTTGTTGTCATGTTCATCATCAGTGTCCATGGTGGCTTTTGGAGCATCTGAATTCAACAAACAGTTCAATTGAATTAGGAAAGGTTTTGAACTCATTAAGGTAATTTTTTTCATATCAATTGTAGCAACAGATTGAAGTAAGCAAATTAAATGTTTTCTTTTACTGCAGCAAACTACACAGTCCAATGTGAATCATTTCATGTATTTATCATTTTTGAATGGAGAACTCATGCACTGCATATTTTATACATGATATATCACATGCACATTAGATTCATTCATGGTTTGCAATTATAAATATTTTTTTCTAAAAGCCAGAAGATACAAGAAAGCATTTAAATAAGAACAAGGAATTTTTTTTTGCAGGATAAAGTTTATAGCCAATGGAACCAGATTGTGGGACTCAACAGATTTCAATCTTGGCTAGCCAAGGGTGATGATCTCCCCCCTTGGCTAGCAATGATGTGGACTTCAAAGATATAATAAAGTGTACTTTTACTGAAAAAGAATTTTGTAGGTGACTTACAAATTCCATTTAAAATTGGTAATTTTGCGTCTTCCTGTCTTTTGCCTGCAGGTGGGCTTGGCATTGGTGATGGCTGGGGAGTGTAAAACTGGCCTGTTGATAAGTAATACTACTAATTACTAGTATTCTTTTCATTTCAAAACAAGTGTATTGTATATTGACACTTACATTTAAACCATATTACCACAAACACTCAAAAGTAGGTCAAACTCAAAAGTCAAGGTTGAAAGTTCAAAAATGTTTGTACCAACAGAAATGTTTGGACATATGGAATACACAAGTGACATATAAAAGCCCTGCCCTAGCTCAAACCACTCCAAATTAAAGGTCAAGTGTAATTTTGATATGGTTTTTTTTTTTTTTCGTAAACTCAAGGAAAACAGGACAAATACTTTGGTACCAAAAAAGTCTTGCCACAAGTAAATACACATGTACAATAGGAATGCCAGGCTGGCACAAAAAAAGTTTTTGTGGACAAACAGACAAAAAGATTAACATTCAAATGGATGCTGATGGACAGACCAAAATGTATACATACACAAAATCTTTGATTACAAAGTATAATTATTTTTCATCCCACAGCCATAATGCGCCTGCATGCGGTTAATGTCAAGCAGTTTATACATTATGTTTATGAATATGATTTAGGCCCTACAATATGGCTGCCAATGCTGAATGTGCAAACTGAAAGCTGAATTCGCAGGCAGCAGATAATATTTACTGTAAACGTACTTTTTCCCCATATAGGATCATAATTCCACAGAATCACAATTTCTTTTAAACTGCAGGTATAAAATTAGGCAGACTACCATTATATTTCTATTACTGCTTTCTACAAGTGGTGTGACAAATTGTGATCACATTCAGAGCAAAATCTAATCCGATGTGCAAAAAATGTGTACATCTACAGTATCAAAAAAGAAATATAAACTAAGTTCAACTAACCTCCTCTGACATATAAAGTTGTTGAGGTCTTATCAGCGATTCTTGACCAGCACTTTAAGTTAGCTCTACAGACATATTCTGCCTCCAGTTGCACTGATACTTGACTTATTGTAAGACAAGAGCTACAGCCCTCTGTCCTTATAAGGAAATGGCTCTGCTCTCCGTCAGGCTGAATTTCCTCTTCCTCATGTTTCTGATCCTCACCCAAAATCCGACTCCATTGAAATTCAATGTTAAACCAGGAAAATCCTGGAACATATGCCTCTAGTGTCACATCCTCATTGAAGAAGGGTTTAATGATGGGCGGTTGTTTCATATGGATTTTAAAAACTGAAAATTTAAAGGATTACACATGCGTGAAACTTAATTCTCTATACTTCATGACCACCTTCTAAACCAGACCATATGACTGGATTGGAGGGGTTTTATGTCTATAAATATGTTTTCAAAAGAACTGTAGCCATTTGACAAAGGGCTACATGTATGTACCTGTTCACTTTATATGCACAGTGTACAAGGACAAATTATTGAAGTTTTTGTGTAAAAATGTCATTATTTGAGGAAGCTTTCACAATTTCTCATTTGCAGGAAGCTTTGTCACATGTACCTATGTGTCTGAAGCTACAGTGATCTCCATGCTATCCAAGTCAAGACATATGGGCCTGATTATTTTAGTGTGATAACCAATAATTTATTAAAAATTTTTAAAAACTAATTTATGATGTGGATATAGTACTTACATTTCTCCATTAAGAAATACACAACTGAAAGTATAAAAAGATTTTCATGTGAGAAATACATACCAGCAAGTTAATACATCAAAACTGATATTCCAAATATATGTAATTTTACAGACATGGTAAAATTTCTGACAATATTTGAACCATTTTGAAGAGAGAAAAAACCAAAACAAAACGAAAAGCAAACAAATATTTATATGTGATAGAAACTTCAAACTAGAAGTGCATTTATATGACATGGTTACAGCTATATTTAGGTGACGCTTTCATTTCATGAACAGCAATTTATCAATTAAAAACATTTTATTCTTACCCAGAGTGATAATGACAAAAGCAATAACAACCAGGGCAACATAGCCAGCATTCTTCCACTTCTCCACATTGGATGTAACTGGAGACTTTGGTGGAGCTATTGAAATTTTGAGAAAATTTTACTGTTATTTATACATGTAGCAACAAAGTTTATAATGTGTATAAATAAGTAAAGGATTAAATCCAAGTTCTACATTCTTAAACAACCCTTTTTTTTCTCCCTCTAATCAGTTTTATATCCCTCTAATCAGTCAAATAACATTAATTTTTAACTCTTATTATTCTAAATAGACAAGAGATGTTTGTAAAACACTTATGCCCTCCTCTCCCAAATGATTGGAATTTTTCTAAGTCCAAAAGGCATAGTCTGTCCAAAGTGGTCCGATCGTACCCAAAATAGAAATTGATCTAGATATGTTTATGATTAATCTGTAAACCAAATTTCATTTTAATAAGTGCAACCTCTGTGAAGAAAATGAACAGAAACTAATGGCAAGCAAAGCAACAAGCCCTTTCTTCGAAGTGTGAACAAAAAATTCTAGCATAGCTTAATAGGCAAAGTTTGGCAAAGAACATTAAGGCCATAATAAATATATTCCTAGATACTCATCCCCGCCCGCCCCGATTTTTTCCTCCCACCTCGATTTTTTTTGTTTCTGTTTTTCTTCGTCTTAATTCTGATCGGGATCGGTATTCAACTACCATTCAACTTTCGTTTTAAATCCCATGTGGGCATGATTTTGACAGCTGAAAAGATGGTAAGTGCTATAATATATGTTAAACTACGGTCATTGTTCTGAAAGATTGGTGATGATGGACCTCCACCATGACTTTTACTTGGGAAAATTCTGCAAAGTGGAAAAAAAATATAAAATAAAAGATGCTTATTCATTTTTTTATTATGGCCTAAGTGTGACAGTTTTATAAATGATGAATTGACATTCATCCTATTAAATAAGAGTTATCTCACTTATCACAGGGACAATGTACCTTAAAAGATGCTTATTACATTGCATAACAATGTTTTCTTAGTACATCGATGAAGATATACATACGTTTCACAGGCACCAGAACAGTAGTAGGCGTTTCTGTTTTATTCGTAGCAGGCAGGGTTGTACCCGAGAATGATGTACTAGGTCTACAAAATACAATATGATTACTTATATTAATACTTCTAAAAGTTTTCTCTACTTTGATAGTCAGTCAAAATTTGTAAGCATGTGTTAAAATTTTGTGCATTAAATTCATAAAGAGAGGCCCATGGGCCACATTGCTCACTTCAGTAACTTTTGCCCTGCTGTTCATCATCAGTGTTTACCCCCTTATAACACTACCTCGGGAAGCTTCCATATAAGTTTCACCTTTTCTAGTCCAGTGTTTCTTGAGAAGATTTCCCCTATATATTTAATGTAAAGGTCTTTGATTCCCAATAGCTATTGTGGGCCCAACCTGACCCCTGGGCGCCAAAGTTTGAACAATTAACAATCTTACACTACCTCAGGAAGCTTCCAGAAAAGTTTCAGCTTTTCTGGTCCAGTGGCTCTTGAGAACAAAATTTTCACAATTTTTCCCATATACCTAGGGTACATGTATTTTAGTCAAACTTGGATTCCCTATTGTGGCCATATCATATCCCCGGTGGTCAAGATTTGAACAATTCAGTATTTAAACTACCTCACTAGGCTTCCACATAAGTTTGTTTTTTTTTGCCTAGTTTGCTTGAGAAGAAGTTTTTTTTACTTTTCTTGATTATCTCTCCTTGTAATGGGGCTTCAATCTCCTTTTCACTGAAAGATATGTGTACTTTGCATGATTTTTGGTGAAAAGTTTACAGATGGATGAATGGACAAAAGGTGATCAGAATTAAATCTACATTTTATACATGTACAATACACTATATTTTGTAAAGATGAATTTTTACAGTTGAAACAAGAAAAATGTTCTTTTATGTTGACTTTATCATCACTAAATTGTTTTCTCAGTTTTACATGAAACTTTATAATTACCGTGTTGATGTAGATTTGTTCTGAATGCAGTTAAACCCATACGGTGGTCGATAAAATCCTGGATCACATTTTTTGACACATCTGTAGGCTAAAGAATGGCAAAACTAATGTTAATATCTAGAGAATTAACATGATTGGAATCTTGTATAATATATTTAATATATACATGTTTTTTTATATATATATAAAATACAGATTTCATAGGTTTTGCCTATACATGTAGATGACATGTATGTATAAATTGTTAGTTAATTAGCATTACATCCATTTAAGATATGCTATATAATATCATAAATCAATAAAAGACTTGTCTTGAACATAGATTATGAACATAATTAGATTTTAACATAATGAAAGATAATAGACAGTTCAAAACTATAAAATCTTGTACTTATTTCACATACATGTACATATACACGTTTGTCCATTACATTTTTATGCATTCTACTTGAATATTTCCTGAAATTTTCTTACAAACATTAATAAAGTGCATCTGAATTAGTTTCTGCAATTCAATTTTCAACTAATGGTAAATTTAACAAGAGACCAAATAAAAATTTATACCTGGGTCTAGCTCCTTGTCTTTATCAGGACAGGTATACATGGTACACCCTTCATCAACATGTTTCTTACTGTAGCATGATTTGTTGAAGGGATTGCTTAGGAGATACTCTAAAGATATGTAGCCTTTCAGATAATCACATTTGCACTCCAAATCTGTGGTTGTGGTACCATCGCTACAATAATCTTCGCCTAATCCGTTGCATTTGGCCTTGGCGTATTCGCATGTGACCTTTTTGAACTGGTTGGAGAGTGCCCCCTCTGGTTGATACCTATCCTTTGGACATGGCACAAGGTTAAGTCTGTCAAATTCCTCAGATATTTCAGGATAATAACCTACCAAAATACCATAGTACAGTGACATACAGTTAAACTCAAATATATCAAAGGCATACAGTTAAACTCAAATATTAAAATTATATCAAAGAATTGGGGATCTGAGGATTTCCAATGCTACGTCTGTTATTTACCCAGTAGTACTGGTCCATACATATTAACTGTACAGATTCCTCAACATATGCAAGGATTTAATTATTGCGTGATTTGACAAGAAACACTATAATTACAAATTAAAAACTCTTTCTTATTTTTTGATGCTGAAATCTACGTAAAAATCTCATCCAAGGGCTATTTCACAATTATATTAAGTACCAACGTAAAACAAGAAATCTACAGTATCAATTACTTTACATTGTAGTACGTACTGCTAATAACAAGAACATATTACCTGGATCTACTTTGATGGGTTTTGTGCAGACTTCTAAATACCAGTTACTTCTTGTCAAGAGACAATGGTACAGGTTTTCGTCCCAGTAACACAGGGTCTTTGACCGCCCTTCCCACCCAGACAAGCTGGGGCATATGTTCTTCTCACTTCTCTCTCCTTTTATTTCCAAAGTATTTTTAGCTACAGCGGGGCAAATCTGTTTGAAAGTAAACAAATATGAATAACTAAATGTTAAACATAACATTCTGGGTAACGGTTGAACTGGTTAAACTTATAGTGCAGATTCAGTGCAGTTTTAAGGATAAGTAATATTATGAATATGTATTTAACAGACATTGCTTTGGAAAAAATACCGGTATTTGTATATATACCAAGTATACTGAAGACATGCATGCACATATGAAATACATTTAGCAATACTGATTTGAAACGTACAAAATGTAGCAATTATATTAATGCATGTGTTTGTGTCTCATAGAAATTAATATGCATGTCAATGACAACAAATTTACAATTCTTCTAACCTTTCAAGCACCATTAAAATTCTTTATCACCTTAAACTTATATACATGTACATGGTTATATGCCATTTGCTATAAATGTACTCCTTTCCACCGAGTCATAGTTATGTGAATTATCAATTTTTTTTAATCTACAGGTAGAAAATACTTGGATTTCTTGGATTGCCATTGTAATTGCCTGTCCTTAATAAAATTTAACTATGGTGATTGGAGATTAATTTCCTCAAAAAAAAAAATTGTAACCACATAAATACCTTAAATTAATTCTACATGGAAAAAAAAGTCTGCAGTATAAAGTAACTATTTTTTTAATATCTTACATAAAACAGTGGTGCTGTTAATGAAAGATGGCAAAAATTCAAAGAACTTAATTAACAGTCTTGGCATGCCGATTTAAAAAAAACCCTGAAAATAAATGTACAGGTATAGCTATTAAAATTATAAAGCCTACGATGAACTTGACAAAACTGATCAAAATGCAACCGGATTCACAGATATTGTGTTTAAGATAGGACGCATGCTGAAATGATAAACCAACACAGTACATTCACATACAAACATACCGACAATAATAGGAAAGAGTGGGAACAATACATATATTACCACATCTGATAAAAGTGGCCTGTGAATAAAAGCAAGTTTTAGATACATAATTGAAATGTTAATGATAAACTATTGTTGATGATTCATTTAAACTGTTCATGAATATATATAGAGAATGGGTTTTGCTCAGTATGTACATGTATACATGTAACATATAAATGTATTAGTATGGGACTCAAAAAGCAAACAAAATTATAAATATTGAGTTTTGTACATAAAAGGATGTAGTATCTGGTGCAGTGAAAAAGGAAAGAATAATGATACATAAAGCAAATATATATAATAAAGAAAAAATTGAAATGCAGGTATATAGACATGTAATATAAAGTTTTAACATAAAACAATTTAAATGAATTTTATATAATATAAACATTAAAAATCATTATATGAAAATACATTTAGCTAAAATATATATATCAAAATACTCTATTTAATATCTATGAACTTTCATGGTCATTTCATTTTTTGCTTGATGTCTGGGTGCTTTGAGAAAGCTTTAAATCTGTTGAATTCTTTAAAGATGTAAAGCATGGATTTGCATTCATTAAATTTTAATTATCTTTAATCTTAATTTTCATTTGCCTAGCAATGATCATCACAGACACTGAATAATATAGCAGCTAGATCTCGATGGCACCAAGCTTATCAATTTTTTTTTATATACTAGGGGGTCTAAAATTCAACCAAGTTTGGTGCCTGTAGGAAATGTGATTACAATCAGATCCTCAATCCACTCCTTCTTTTTTTTTATGTTGCTACATGAGGATCTGATTTTAATCAGAATGCGCCTGTGGGCAGAGGTGCATAGTTTTGTCAGCCTGACAGCTTTGTAGTGTTTATGGAGATCTATATATTAACAATGTCTTCAGTACAAAATCAACAAGAGTAAATGTTTTGTTTGCATGAAAACCCAAAACCTTTATAAAAATAAGCAGATTCAGCAACCAGCACAAAAATTAACCACCACAAGGAAAAAAAGTCTCAAAAATGGATAAAACATGTCAGACTTAATCAATAAAATTGTAGAATTCATGTATTTGCCCTATATGATATAGCAAAAGAAAGTAAGGCAATATTGTACATATAATCTACACTGTGTGATATATGTCTAAATTTCATCTCATTAAAAAAAATACATGTATAACTATATACTTGATAAGGTAAGTTATCATATTTATGTATATATACTTACTAAAAATGCTAGAAGAACATAAGTGCAACCAAAAAAAATTGTTTTCGACATCTCCATTCTTCTTCTTCATTATATCGATCTACAAAAGTACAGGTGTAAACATGGTTACTGGTTAAATTACAATTTTCTCATTTTTATTCATTCCAATACAAGTCCATCTGAGAATTTAAAACTAAGAAAGTTTTTATACTGTAATACACTGTCGTGATCCCGTGCCGGATTGGACAAAACAAGATGGCGGCGGGAACAAATCGAAAAAGGTAGGTATCTGAGATTTCAGTAAATATCTATTAACCAACAGAAATACTAGCTCTGACGATGCTGTCGAATTCCTAGTAAAGTGTTTATTTATGTGGTCGATTGCTACCTTTCCTATCCTCTCTCAAACGTGAACATTTAACGTCTGAAGACAGCAATATTTTCCCGATTGAGTTTGAAGCGGCACGAAGTTGTTTTTTTCTTCGATTTTGACAGTTTTATAAATCCAGCAGCCGGCCTGTGGCAAAAAAATAAGAACTTGGTGTAATTCTGACCTGGTGTTACATGTTTATTTGTTAAACCCTATCTTATTACAAAAATATAGCGATTTAAAAATGTTGGCATGTGCTGGATTGGAATCGGTTAATTTTAATGGAAAATGTGCCGGATTAGACTGATTTTTTGGTGCCGGATTGGATGCTGCTTGTGATGGTCATTTTAATAATCTTTTTCTCTTTTAGTTTTAAAGCCATGGACGCATCATTTAATGAATTCCCAGATGGAGGAATTTGTGAGACATGTGGTCGGGGGTACAGATCAAAGTGCGCACTGCTTAAGCATATTAGAATTAAACACGACCAACAGAAACTGGCCTTTTCTTGTGATGATTGTAACAAACGATTTTCTGACCGCCAGCAGCTGAATGCACATTTAGAGAAGCACGATAAGTGCCAAAGATTTAAGTGTGACACTTGCAGTGAAACATTTACGTACAGACACAACCTTACAAGGCACATGAAAAAACACCCCACTCCAAAAGTTCACACTTGTAGCTATTGCAGTCAGGAGTTTGGGAGAGGGGACACCTTACTTCAACACATTAGAGTAGTGCATGACCAAGCAGCGAAGTACACTTGCAACATCTGCGGCGGCTGCTACAGATGGAAATTTAGCCTAAGACGGCACATGAAGAACAAGCATTGAGGAATTCAAGTCTGGGGAACAGAGATTGATTATGACAGACCAATACATATATACATTTTTTTTTACATCTAAGATAAGATATATCTGTGATATTTTCGAATGCAATGCAATTGTACCTCATTTATATTTTTTTCGTAAAATTTTTATATTATTTTATATTTTTTTTTCTTTAACACATTTTACTTTTTGTTTCTTATGGTTATACACCAGAAGTGTTCAAGACTGTTATTTTTATTAAATGGTAAAAAATTTTCAAATATTTTCTTCGTCTTTTTAAATATCACTTCCCCGGATTAGAAAAAGGAATACTTTTGCCCCTATTGATTCTTTTTATCTAGCTAGTTATTATTTTATCAAAAATTATTCTAAGTAATTTTACAGTAAGTTAATTTGATTTGCTATGTAATAGACATAACAATTTTATCTTTTGACCTATACAAACAAACGTGAAAATCTAGTACTTGATATAGGTTTGTACAGTAGTAATTTACATTGAAAAATTAGCTCTGGTTTAGATTTTAATAATAAGAAGCAGAAAATTGAGAAAAAGCTGCAAAAATTATGCATTACCATAGTATAAAAAAGTCCCAGTCGAAATGATCAACATTTCAAAAAAGAGAAATGTCACTTTATATACCTATTATTTTCGTTCGACTAGTCTTTGCAAAGATTGAGCAGTTCAACTTCATATATAATTTTATTAGTCTTTTTATAAGCATTGTAATTATACAACAATTAGTATTAAAATTTACAAATCCATGTTTTTCAGTAAAACTGAACCTCGTTGTCAGATATAACATTGTCTTTAATAATTTTTTCAAACTACAAATAGGCCATTTTAAGGAGGCTAGGGGGTCAACAGATTTTTTTTTATTAACCTCCAGATATAACTTATTTTTTAGATCCTTGAGCTGTCAACTATCTTTTGGCAAAGAAAAATGTCAGAAATTTTAGTTTTAAAATTTTATCATTTTATTATATCTTTATATGGAGCTCATTTCCTAAAGGAGATCAAAATAGTCTTAAATGGCCACGACCGCCAAGCCTCTTTAAAATCATGAATAGAGATAACTTCCAATTGTTTAGTACATACGGCATATTTTTAAGTTACACAATCTTTGAGAGATTCTTAGACTGAAAAGATTCATCATCAAGAACGAGGCCTCTTCTGACATGAGGTAACAATTTCGCTTCATGTGCACGATGGAATTCTCGTACGGTAAGAGGTTTCGCGGAAGGTTCCTCAGGTTTACTGATGGTTCCTCTTTTCCTTTTTCTGGCTCCACGGGCCCTTTCGGGTTTATCAAAACCGTGGTCTCTGCAAGAGAAATATGGTTATAAAAATTTGAGATAAAAAGAAGAAGTCTAGAATAAAAAGATGTTAAGGGGGACCATACCTGATAATAATATTACTTATATCCTTCGGAATAGACAAGCTTGAAGGCGAAATGTCCATTATCATGTCATACGTAGTACTGGGATAGACTTTGCTGCAACTTGTATACATATGGAATACCCTATATACAGAACAAAACATTTTATATCGGAAATAGGAAAATCTGATGAAAGAAACTGATTACATCACAATTGTCATTCATTCAAAGATTCAACGAAACAAGTAAATGTTATATAATACTTACTTGTATGGATCCAGTCTAGCTTCTTGCAACTCTGCAGCTACACTTATGGCAGTTGGTATAGAATCTGGACGTAGAACTCCAGTTCCCCAAGGATCGTAGTCTTGAAACCCACCAAAAAAATTCTCTACGTCAAGGCTGCCAATACAACGGACATTGTACCTGCCACTTTTAACTAGTGGGAATAGTTGTATTCGACGTTCAATTCCTGTCAATAGCCCTTCATACAAAATAACTGGAATACCTTTGACAAAAGCGCCTGGTGGAGGAAACTCTCCAAAATTGATGCCGTCCAAGAGCCAGTCTCTAAATTTAAGGCGGTATTCACATCGAATAATAGCTGGTATTCCAGGATCGTCTTCCGCTTTATACCAGTGCCTAACTAGTGAACAGAACTTTGCTTCCTCGTGCGCTCCAAGTGCGTTTAATGCCGACTCTACTTTTTCCGAAAATGTCTGTACTGCGTATGCGACACTCTGCTTATCGATCATGTCTTTCACAAGAGCCACACTGAGACCACATCCATTGAATTCACTCTCCTCAGCAACTTTGTGCAAAGGTTTGTTTGATATTCCAGCTTCTGGGATGCCGTTTGAACATAAAAGTCTCCGTAGTCCACATAGTTGATGATAAGCGTCAAGTATCATAAAAACATAATATCCCACACAAGTATTCATTTCCGGATAACTATACCATTGCTTTCTTTTCCCAGATGAACTTCCCTCAATATTAATGTTCTTTCCATATGGACATGATCCGTACCATTTTTCTAATTCTACAGGAAATACATTTTCCGAGAGCACAATGTTTAGTTTTTCTTTAGGTATTTTATGAAGGCATGATCTACACAGTGCTTTGAGAGTGTTAACCTTGTAAGTCTTTCTTGACGTTGGAGTGGGCAGTTCAGTTTTGTTGCCTAGCAGCTTGGAAAACAAATTCACATGTAAATATTTAGGGTCCGTTTTGTTTGCCTTGAATCCATAGCCTTTGAGTTTTCCTAAAATAGGTTTCAGACACAACTGCAGCTCATAGGCCAGAAAGTTTTTATTGATTTCTGATGCACTTTTCATTTTTGCTTTGAAATCCGTTGAACTGATCATCCAGATGCTCGTTCTTTTGGATTTGGTGTGCGCTTTTAACTCTTCCAGCATCAAATTGATATCATTTTCAGTTACTAAGTCTGCATTTATATTTGTCTTCTCAGGATTGTCCATCTGGTTTTGTCTAGGTTATTCTGTACTTAAATCCTGTGGTTCATTTTCTTCGCTAAACAATGCTGTCAAGTCATCAAAATCGCTACATTTGGAACTGGGTGAGCTATTCTGTTTTTCAATACACTGTACCTCCATAACGAGATCGTCATCCATCTGAGAAACAACTGCTGTAGGAAGACACCTCATTATTCCATTGTCTATCTCGCTCTGAGTCTCTTCTCTTATCACTGGACATTTAGATTTTTCTCTCAACAAATGGACAGTTCTTTGGGACATTACAAATGCTTTATCTTCTGAATTGCTCCAAAGATAAATTGCTGGACGTGGTTGCTGTTGGATTTTGAATCCCACAGAGCTCTTCAAATCATCGAAGGATTTAATTTCGCTTGTTCTTACAACATTCCTTGAAGATAGAGTCCGTACAATTTCTGATTTGGAAAGTTTTCTTATATTGTTGTAAACATCTTTCTGCAGTTGTAAAACAGTTAAAGGCCGGTTTTCTTCATCACGAACAGCAACTTTCCACCATTGTCCATCAAAAGAACAGACAGGAATATAAAGTCCCCTTCTTGCACTTTCATTCAGGACGGTCTCAATCATTTTTCTAACTGTGCATGTTGGTAAACTGTAACTCTTTAACCCGTAAGCTATTGGTACTGAGTGTAATTGCTCAAAGCTAAATTCCCGATCTAGATCGGAAATCATAAAGGCAAGAAGCTCCGAGGCTTTCGTCCTTGTAAGATCATATGCTCTCTGTACATCATTACGGGTACTTGACAACAATTCAATAAGAGTATCAAGAGAATGCAAATGAGATGTAGACGTGCTTCTTTCACATGCTGATGACTTGTCTCCTTGAATAGATCGGACTTCGGCTATCAATTCAACATGGGATGCTCCATACTGCAAAATTAAATCTTGAATTTCCTTGCTGGACTGTGACTTCCTACTTGGTCTAGAAGATTTCTCATCAAATATTACTGACGATTCTTGTTCTAATCTCTCCCAAATATCAACATTGTATGTTGCCCTTTGAATTGTTGTAGATTCTTTACTGTAACTGATAAAGTACAACTGTTTCGCGTTTAAGCAGTGCATTTCTGAAATTATTTGTGGTACGTAGTACTTTGGAATGGAATAGTGCACTGTAGTAGAGTAAGTTTTTCCAGGAAATGGACACTTGCACTCAATACCATATATTGCTTGATCATTCACAGACTTTCTGCAGCTACCATCGGGGCTTACAATTATTCCTACATTGTTTTTTGTTGTTATTTTGTAACATCCTTCTTCAAAGTAACAAAGATCAGGATGAAAAACGGGGAGGAATTTTCCAGCAAATGTTGCAATGGCGTGAATTTCATTGTCAACACCGTACTGCATTTTTTCTTTGACAGACGAAGTTGGCTCTGGTTTTTCCTTTCCAAATAGAACACAGTCATAATGTTCCTGTTGACATTTGAGGGTACCTAATGCTAGCGCGTTAAACATTGTGCTACCAGTTATTTTTGCAGTGTTTCTAACCGTATGCCAAGCAGGACTTCGTTGTTCTATATATCGATAAGTTGTACAGTCATCTTTGCTAACTTGTTCTAGAGACGATATGGAAATATGGTCACCGCTGCTTTTTAATGGGAATGTTCCGTCAATCCACACTTTTGAGTCATTTAGATGTGCAACAATCATGCATAAATCATCAATATCTCGTAACAAGTTTTTAATGCAAGCCTTCATGTCATACAGGTGAGTTATTAGCCCACTAATAACAAATACAAGTCTTGATTTTCTCCAGTCACCAGTTGTACCACTTGTCGACTCGATCAATTTATTTTTGTTGACTTCTTTCTGCACCATACTTTCCCGCAATGTTTGTAGGCGTTTAGTCAGTACAGTGATGATTGTTTTGAGAGTCTCTGCAATCTTTCCCTTTTCTACATGTGAGAGATCTTGAAATTGTTCTGAGTATTGTTGTTTCATCAGTAGATAATCTGAACACTTTTCAATAAGCACAATGTCCGTATCAAGAGCTTCTCTCCTTTCTTTAGTGGTAGGAGTTGATTCAAACCCCCAAAGATCTACATCACCATGTTTTCCAATGAGTGACGAGTTGATTTTTTTTCCATCAACACATAATTTAAAAGTCTTGGTGGTCTCAGATTGATTACCGAATTTATCTAATAGAGAGTATAGGATTCCAGGTGCAACATCCTTTGAAGCAATTGGTGTGTTGCTTTGAGACACAATATCCCTGTGGGGAACAACAAAGTTAATATTACTACTGAAAGGGTCATAATTACCCTTTTCATTTTCTCCAGTAACAACTGATCCTGTATGTTTCGGTCCACCCATAAATCTCAACCATTTGCCATGGAAAAGTTTGTATCCAACTCTCCAAAACTGCTTCACTTTGTCTGAATATCTCATGGTAGAAGTATTTTGTAGTGATAAAAATTTCACAACGTCCATAAAGAGAAGGAATGAAATATTTTCAAAAGGAAATTTTTCTTCTGCAATCAGCTTATTTAGGCTGATATAATTCTGCAAGTGTCCGGCTGATTGCAGCTCCTTTATCACATCAGGAAGTAGACGAGCAAGTTCATGTTGTTCACTTGGTATTTCTTCGTCAGGTAGAACTACTTTTCTTCCTATATATTTAGGTGTTGAACACCTATTTTTCTTATGAAAAGGACTGCTGATAGATGGTTCATCAAGATCATCAAGAGAGATATTACAAAAGGATTCTTCGAGAGGCTCCTCCTCCGAATGCACAAAAATTTCATAAGTTTCTTCGTTGCACTTCAGGAACTCTTTCTCGCTTAAAACTTCAGGAATAAAATTAAAATCTTTTGTTTGCAGTCCCCATTTTCCAGAATTTTCATCAAATGTTTTTTCTTTTATTTTAACACTCAATGTGTGATGTTCCAAGACGAGATGATTCACTATTTCTTGTAAGGTTGCCGAAGTACATGGGCAATAGTAACAATTAAACCTCTGCATTATTTATAATAACAGTCTGAAAAAAAAAAGATTAGAAAATATTAGACATCACAAGCAGCATCCAATCCGGCACCAAAAAATCAGTCTAATCCGGCACATTTTCCATTAAAATTAACCGATTCCAATCCAGCACATGCCAACATTTTTAAATCGCTATATTTTTGTAATAAGATAGGGTTTAACAAATAAACATGTAACACCAGGTCAGAATTACACCAAGTTCTTATTTTTTTGCCACAGGCCGGCTGCTGGATTTATAAAACTGTCAAAATCGAGAAAAAAACAACTTCGTGCCGCTTCAAACTCAATCGGGAAAATATTGCTGTCTTCAGACGTTAAATGTTCACGTTTGAGAGAGGATAGGAAAGGTAGCAATCGACCACATAAATAAACACTTTACTAGGAATTCGACAGCATCGTCAGAGCTAGTATTTCTGTTGGTTAATGGAGATATTTACTGAAATCTCAGATACCTACCTTTTTCGATTTGTTCCCGCCGCCATCTTGTTTTGTCCAATCCGGCACGGGATCACGACAGTGGTAATAAGAAAAGAGGAATGTGATGAGGTGATGAGCCAGAGAAGGATTCAAACTAGGGTCCCCTGCACTGCTAGTCAAGTGCTCTATCAACTGAGCAATGTCTCAAAGCCACCAGCAATTGAACCTGCCTCCTCATCAGGCCAGGATTCAAACCTGTGCCTGGTTTGTTGTATTTCTCTCCCCTCAAGTTACATGTTAATAGTGTAATGCTTGAAAAGTTACAATAATCTCTGTCTCAAGACAGGCCCTTAAACCGGGTCCATATGACATTATAATTTTAATGACAGAGCATTGTATCTAAACTCTATAGTGACAGCTAGGTGAAGGACCTGCCAGTGGAAAACCAAGTATTGGTGTCTATGGCCGATGGGGGACAAAATCTTTAAGAAATGAAAAATATGGCAGTCTGATGGGGGACAAAATCTTTAAGAAATGAAAAATATGGCAGTCTGATGGGTTCGATCACTGGTGACTAGAGAGCTCATTTAGTAGTGCACCCGACTAATGATTTAGGGGGCTTGGGTGCATTGGTATCTTTGCCTCCATGGTCTTCTCAGATCCCTCCTCAATAGTTACATTATCATGGATATTGAAAAAATTGATATGTCAAAACTCAAAAAAGTGAAAATAAATGAGAAACGGCACGAATCCTACCAGGGTGCTACCCAGCTGTTTGCTATGGTTAGGAATTAAGCTCACTGGAAATATTTATGCACATGTAAAAGATATTTTCAAATTATTGATACAGGTCTATTTCTAGACTCCTTTGGATATGCATAGCAACATGTTGTGTGTCTCTTTCTGAAAATTACCAATGCCTTTTTTTATCAATCACTTTAAATAAATTCCGGGATTTCCCATAATTTTCCCACCTTGCTTGGGTGAATATTTCTCTTTTTCCCCCCTTTCTCTCATGTTCAATAACTTCGGCAATGCTTCGAAATACATGTACAAAGTATCTAATCATAATAAAATTGAAGGATATATTGGGTGAGAACACAATAAAAAAAATTCACTTAATCTCGGGTCTCTAGCTCTTGTTACTATTATGGCAAATGACACATAGGGCCAAGATGAAACGCCAATATTAGGGGACAGTGCTGAAGGCGTGTTCCTTCTTGCCCGAGCTCCTTCAACTTTGTTTGATGAATTAAATCGTCTCAGAAGGTACAAAAACTTACCTTTTTCTGGTACGTATAAATGTGGAGCGACAATAAAAATATAAAACTGTCAGATTATTATCATTATACAAAGCGATTCACATTTCGGAATGTTTGAAAATGAAAGTAAAAGAATGACATCAGCCAGGGGCAGGCGGTAAACCTAGTGACAGTGTTGCCGACTCCCGACTCTCTGTTTAATGTTCTCCACATCGAATAACAGACTCGAATAAAAGTATTAATTTAGCCGTATTTACCTCGTTGAAATAAATTTTATTAAAATAAAATTAACAAAATTATTACAAATTGTAGCATTTATGGACTTAGCTTTGGATTTCAATAAATCGGTCCTCGTTGTACGTTTATGAATAATAATTTAGCACATAATTTTACCACATTTGCAACTGCAGGAATTGAGAAGTCCCTTAAACAAAATCATTATGTCTGAGAAGTTTAAGTGATTTTTTAGGTACCCGAATTGTGTAACATTGATATTGGTTGAAATATAGTTCTTGACTCAGGCATGTGGTAAATCTAGTACTCCCAATTCCCGATTCTTTTGTCCCTAAAGAACTGGGGTGTTGCTAAAACGCGGAACGGAAAAAGGAAAATTTTTTCTAACAAATAACATAGATTCATTATAAATCATATAAAAGAGCAATATTCTTGTTGTAAAAGTCATTTCTAATAAAAATTTATTGTAAACTATTATATATTTGTGAGTTATACACACTCTCCGTGGAAAAAATGCTACTGAAAGAACCCCCCCCCCCACACACACACACACGGAATAGGATTTTCGTGTTTGGGCAAAGGACATATCCCCCCCTTTTTTTGCTTGTCAAATTTGTTGTATGTTGAAAATTTTTTCTGACCCCCACCCCCTCTTTCAATGTCAATGTCTGAAAAGAAAAAAATATCTAGCTAGTTATGCTATTCAGATTATGCACGCAGTGTCGAATTCGCGAGTCATGCGCGGATCTAGAGGGGGGGGGGGTCGGGGGGGTCAGGACCCCCCCCCCCCCCCCCTGGAATTTACCAGGTTAAAAAATGTACATACTAAAACAAGAAAATAGTGACCCTGGACCCCCCTTGGAAAACGCAGACACCCCTGGTAAACGCGACTAGTGGTAAAATGCGTATGACAAGTGAAAGATTTGAGGTAATAGAAGTCATCACTACCCCCCCCCCCCCCCCCTATGAAATATTTTTTTGACGTTTGAGGGAGTTAAGGTTGTTGGGTTTTTTTTTTGTTTTTTTTTTGTTTTTTTTTTTTTTGCTTGTCAAGAAATTTCTGGGATTGGATTTTTTTTTGACTGAGGTGGACCCCCCCCCCCCCCTGGAAAAAATTTCTGGATCCGCGCCTGGCGAGTCATGAAAGGGGGTGGCATTTTCGGGTCTGTGTAGGGGCCCAAAGCCACATTAAAAATTGATTTATTAAACCTTTTGTACATTTTGGACATAAAAACGGGGGGGGGGGGGGGGGGCTGACCTATAACAACTTCTCAGATCTTTCCGATGAGCGGTAAAACAAACTTATTTTTTACGGGGTCATTCATATACGCCCACTCCCCCCCCCCCCCCCCAAAAAAAAAACATGCAGACATATGTGCTGCAAACAAACAAAACTTAACTTTAATGAATGCAAAAATTCTGCAGTCTGCATTATATCTACCACAACTTTGTCTATCCAGAAAAGGACTCTATTTTGAATAAAATTTTAACAACCAGTGTGTATAAGAGATGTTTATTCGAGCTTGCCGTAAAGGTTTGCCCTAAACGTAATTCTTAATAATTTTTTTAAAACATTTTTCTTCTCTTTCCATGGTTCATTTAGATATCAAATATTTGCCCCCCCCCCACCCCCAGTCATAACCTTTTTACTACGGAAATGTTCGTTCAAGCTCACATTTTCACCCTTTTTGTGAATATAATAAATGTAGTAAGTTAGTGTAAAAAAAAATAGTACTGAAAAAACGTTGGGAGTTGGAACTTATCCCCCTCCCGAATCAAACAATTGTTTTCTTTTTGTGTTTTATCTCCCCTCCCGAATCAAACCATTGTCTTCTTTTTGTGTTTTTTCTTGTCAAATACTTTTCCAGTTCGTTTACCCCCCCCCCCTTTTCAATTTCGATTCTATGTGACTGCTATGTTAGCGACTTTTGTAAATAAGAGACTGAGCATGACAAAATCAACTTTATTTAATAGTGGGGGATTGATTGTGTACAAATGTACAAGATACGAGGGTTGATCCAAAAGTAATGTCACTTTGTCCATATCTTTAATATTTGGCGTCATATCATCAAATATAATGTACCAAAACATACATGAACATAAATCTAATCAAAATTGAAATTCTCATTTAATAATGTTTTATTAAATTAATTTTATAGACGTTTAAAGAATTAAACACAATGGGTGTCGCCGCGTGACTACTAAACGTCACGTTTTAAAGTGTATATTGTTAGAATGAAAAAAAGATAAATACATTAAAAGCATCCTAAAAAAGCGTCTAATTGCCAAATATTTTAAAAGACAAAATTTTACGACATTTTCTAATCTTTAGTTGAAAATAAAATGACGTCATTGCTTTTTGATAATAAATATTGTTGTTTTAATCTGATTTATTGAACAAGGAAAATGTCGAAATGAAAAAAAAAAACACTGAAAGGAACTGATGCGTTTTCGCTTCGAAATGGTGAAATTGCTAGAAGAGAGAGTTTTGATGTTTTAATCAGACATACAGAGGAAAGAATGTAAATAAGAAACTTGTTTATAAATTGTTTCACAATTTTTGACGGATTATGGGTCATTGAAGGATCAACGGAGGACAGTAAGACCTGAAAAAGAAGGTCGGTCGATAAAGTTCAAAAGTGTCGTACGTCGTCAAAAAAGATAGACGTGTCACGGTTAGAGCGATATGAGAAACTTTAATTTTGTCTAATGGTTCTGTTCAAATAATTCTGACACAGGACTAAATTTTATCTAGAATGAGTGTACAATGGGTGCCAAGAATTCCTGAAAAAAGTGAAATATGTGAATTTGTTACTGAACCTCAATTTTTTTTCAATAAAACGAAGGGGAAGTGGTATAAGTGTATGACGGTGTGTATCCGTTATACTAACATATGACGTTATTTAGGTGCGGCGACTACCATAATTGCACTTTGCATATAATTCGATATTTCGAAAAGTATAAATCATTTTAATTTTAATTTTTCAGGACTGATTTGTAATAAATAAAGCTTTAATCATGTTTAATTATGTTGATTTACATTGACTAGTATAAATTTTATCGAAGTTGTGACATTACTTTTGGATCAACCCTCGTCAATCGTATATGATAAAATTTGTGATTTTTCAAGTGATTTAATCCAAAAAAATATATTCCGTTTTCCGTTCCGTTCCGCTTTCCGTTCCGTTTTCCATTCCGCGTACGCGCGTTTTAGCAACACCCAAAGAACTGAGAAAAATAGCATTGTACTCCCGCCTTTCTACAGGCGAGGATCCAGGAATTTTTTCCAGGGGTGGGGTGGGGGGGGGTGGGGTCCACTCCAGTGAAAAAAAATCCAACCCAGAAATTTGTTGACAAGTATAAAAAAATTTCTCGCCAAAACATGAAAATCCTATTTCCTGGGGAGTGGGTGTGGGGTTTGGTCGTTGACTTCCAAATCTTCTTTATACCTATTCATACTTATGACTTTTCATACCAACTTAATCATACCCAAGTTTTTGAGGGGTGTTTGTGTTTTCAAGGGGCGGGGGAGGGGGGGGGGGCAAGGTCACTTTTTACTTGGTTCAGTATATAAATTTAGGTTCATAAACCCTCTGCTCACTCATATAAAATGTTGCTTGAACCTTAATGATTTTCCAAAAGAAAAATATTTTCTAAGTAGAATACAAACAATTATAGCATGGCTTGCGGGGCAAAATTAGACAAAAAAGACACTTGAGCTTGGCAAATCTATAAAAGAATAATAGACTTTTATGTTATTAAGAGTTATCTCTCTTATCAGAGTACCATTGAACATTAAGAAACTCTGCAAATTCTACGGTGGGGGTGGGGGGTGGGGGGGTTCCGGAACCCCCCTCTTGATCCGCGCATTTATATATATATACATGTACCTCCAAGTCTTTCAAAAGTTTACATATTGATATGATTTAAATAAATTTATGTTTCATAAAACATTACTTATATTTGGGAAAACAAAGAGAGATAACTCTATAATAGATGTCAAAGGGAAACGAAAAATATTTTACCCCCCCCCCCCCCACCACCACACACACACACACCTAATGAAACAAAAACGTCTTTTTACGAATAATTTGGACTGGTATTTCAAAAAACCATAGCAAAGATTTTTGTGTTCCATGGGGAGGGGGGAACATTTGTTAACTGACCAAAAACGACAAATATGCTGATTTTTTTCGCCAATTTCAAAGGAGTTTTCAACTGAAACATCAATCAATACTATATATGTTTACATGTTTAATTTTCTATGTATAAAATATAAGAAACGATTTAAGAAACATTTACTCATAAACAAGAATATATTTAAGATATGGTGATGCTTTAAAGCTCGTTTTCAATGAAATTAAATCATCGTCCACCCCCATCCCAACCCCTTTTTGAATGATCTGGAATTAAGGAACTATTTACGGAGGTATTAAAAAGATAGCATTAAATTAAACGAGTGTAAAATGTAGGCGGGAATCAAGAGTTAGCGCGCGTAGTTCTTGTGATATTTATTGAACTGACAGTATTCTTCAAGCCGATAAACAGAATATCTTCATACATTACTTCTGAAGTAACTTCAATTTGTAAAAATGCAATTACATAGATGTATATAGATAAATTTTCTTATAATCAGACAACATAAGATTTTCATACTCCTAGTTCCAAGTTATTTAAATGTGGAGTCGGAAAATAAACCAGATATTGTTCAAATGTAATATGTTGATATTTTTAAAACACAATCAATCAAATTATTTAATTTAAAGAAAAAATCTTATTTTATGATAAATTAATAAAAGAAATTTAAAAAAAACTTTTTATTCTGTCATTCTGAAAAATATCAATTAAAACAAGCCATAAATCATATGGCTTTAAGGGTTCAGAAAACCTAAAATGGACAATAAGTTACGCATCTCGGTCGATTAAAATTGCCGTCATGCGTATCATTGATGATTTAAAAATATATACGTAAATTCAGTTTAAAATAGCAAAACCTGGAAAATATAAAATGGTTCTCTGCAGCTCAGTGGTTTGAAAAAAAATCTATCGGGATTGTTGGGAGTATGGTATCAGATTTACCGCCTATTATTTATTAACTATAGTGGTATGCCTTGTACAGTTTTATTTAGCGAGAAATAATACAAGTCTGTTTTGTTTCTTTGTCAAAGGTTTGCCGTTTGATTTTTTAGACACTTCGGCAATAAATGCATTATTTAATCATTATTATACCATATCAAAGACACAGCACTGCGTACAGTAGGGGAAACATATTTTTAATTAAGAAAATTGAGTCTAAACATTTATTAAAAAACAATATAAGAAATTGTAGTGTCGGTTTCATTTATCAGCGTTTATATTCATGATAGTATCGCAATTTAATTTTTCTTTTTTTTCCCCTTTCGATCTTGTCTTCATCATCAAGGCGCCTCGACTCTGTTGCTTTTTCAGACAATATTAACTCTTTCTGGAAAATCGTCACGGTCATTCGGTACCATTGAAAGACGCTGGATCGTCCCACCCCACACCCGTAGTTCCTATTTTCTAGCATGCGTGGATGGGGGGGGGGCGAACAACACCACCCCCGGGAATTTGCAGTTTTAGTAAATGTATATATTAAGCCAAGTAAAAGTGATCTTGGAACCCCCCCCCCCCCAAAAAAAAAAGAAAACGGAGATCCCTCTTCCAAAACACGGATCTATGTGATTATGGTATTATGGTATGAAAAGTCATTAGTATGAAGCTTTGAAAGTCATTCCCTTCCACCACGAAATAGGTTTTAGTTTACTTTTTTTTTTGGCTTGTCAAGAAATTTCTGGGTTGTGATTTTTTGAGTTTTCACTTTAAGTGACAAGAAAAAAAAATAACGACAGTGCATTTCCGATAATCTAACCAAATACTAATACTCAGTACTTCCGTGTTTGCTGATTATGTACGGAATATTGATATGTGTAATCATCTTTCACGGTTGATTGTAAGTCACACTTGAAGTACTTTCAGTACTTTGATTATAGGAGGATTGGTCAGAATCGGAACTGACGTCACACATCGGGAACGCAAAACACAGCCACATTTACGAGTAAACAGGCAGAGAGTCTTGTGGTATTTTCCGCATTTTTGCTGCCTTTTACGAAACGAGATTTAATTCTTCTGTGTTTGTGGTGAGTGTTTTCTGTCTAGGATACTAAAATGAGTTCTCTGGAGCAGAAAATCGAAGTCCCCGAGATCCGTGAAGAGCTGACGGGGGAACAATCTGTTGGGGACAACGGTGTGACAGAAAGGAGCCTCACCCCAGTCCATCTGCAGGTGGAGCGACTGCGGGTGGAGGACGATGGCAATAGTTCTGCGTACACCAGCGAGGAAGAAGCAGGGAGTCATGAAGGAAGTCACGACGAAAACCGGACTGCGGACGAGCCGGAATTTGTGGCACCGGACGACGAACTCCGCGACAGAATTATCAAACAGGTGGAGTTCTACTTTTCTGATCCCAATATTTTGAAGGATGCATTTCTGCTGAAGCATGTGCGTCGAAACAAACAAGGGTTTGTGAGTATTAAACTCATAACCTCTTTTAAGAAAGTGAAATCCTTAACTAAAGATTATCGGGTTGTTGCTTATAGCCTGAGACACTCTGAAAAACTAGAAGTGAATGAAGAGGGGAGGAAAGTACGTAGAAAGGACCCTCTACCAGAATGGGATGAAACCACCCCATCACGTTCTGTAGTGGTCGTTAATTTACCCATGGAAAACCCATCTATCGAGAATGTGGCAGAAATGTTTTCCAAGTGTGGTGAAGTTTCGCTTATTAGGATTTTAAGACCAGGGAAGTCCGTGCCACAAGATGTGAAAAAACATTCCATCAAGCATCCAGAGATTGGAACGACAACCTGTGCTGTCGTAGAGTTTGAGAAGCATGAAGCAGCACAAAAAGCTTGTGAAACAATGAACGATACTGAAGATTGGCGTCAGGGCATGCGTGTTGTTTTACTTGCTGCTCAGAAGAAGAAAGAGAATAAAAAGAAGGACAATGGCGATGATTCAGGAAAAGAGGATGATGGTGAAGGGAAGGATAAGAAAAAGAAGAGGAGAGAAAGAAGAAAGAAAAACAGAGTTGATGAACTCGCTGACAATGATTCTTCTTGCTACTACAGTAGTGGTTCAGAGGCAGAGTTTGGCGTACCTCAAAAAGGCAATTACAGAACACATCAAATGCTCAAGAAAACACTGAGTCCAAATCACATGGAACATCCAGTGCTTAAAAAAACTCTGAGTCCAAATCATATGGAACATCCTGTTCTTAGAAGAACAATGAGCCCTAATAATAAGGAACATCCATCACTCAAGAAATCTTTGAGTGGAAGTCAGATGGAACACCAAAAACTGAAAAGAACCATGAGTCCAAATCAAGAGCATACTATGCTCAAAAGAACTCTCAGTCCAAATCAGTATGACTCAAATCGTCTGAGTCCAAATTCCTCCCCAAGGTCAAGTCCAAAATCTAGTCCTAAAACCAGTCCAAGGTCAAGAAGAAGAAATTTTCATGGGATTTCACCTTTGGCCGATGACAAGAAAAGTCCAAGTACTAGTCCAAAGTTGAGCCCTCAGTGTAGCCCAGACTTGGGAAGAAAGAAATATGAACATTCTGCAGATGGTAAACCGTCAAGCCCGTGGGTACAGAGAAGGATGATGCTGGCTGGTCAGGATAAAGGCCAAGTGTCAGCCAATCAGGTCAATGGAAAGAGCCACGAAAAACACAAGATGTATGGAATGGAAGGGGTCATTCGACAGCCCAGAGGACCTGACGGAACCACTGGCTTCCACTTGGGACGAGGAAAACCAAGGAGCAGCACATTTTCTTAAACTGCTTTTAGTGCAGCAGCTTTGCTGTCACAGATATTGCTTTTTTGTTCTGTGCACTCACCATGACTCTATAAAGCTGAACTTGACTTCACTCACAAAAAACAACGGTGGAGGTCTCTGTGATAAAATCTATATGGTACATGTATAATGTTAAACAAGTCTTTTTATGCTGTTCACTCCTTTTTTTGTACCTTACACAGAATGTCAATGACTTGGAAATTTAATCTTGTAGTAATGACAGCAAATTCATACATATAGTAAAAGGTGCCCGCATGCATACATCATTCAAAAGTCAGAAATGGTGCAAAAATTGTGTTGCTTGAATACTTGCTAAAAGCACATTTTGATAACTGTTGTGTTTACTCTTAGCAATGGGTAGTGTAATTTAAATCATCAAAATGGCTTTTGTTTAAAAATGCAAATGAGACAACTTAGCAATTTGATATTTATGATGGTTGTGTTCATTAATAATGAGACGATTATTCAACGTTTTATTGTCTCAGCTAGGTGAGAGTAAAGGTGCACAAATGTTTTTTTTTAAAGCATTGATTATGTTATAGGAAGTGGTTGTCAAGTATATTGAATAATGATTTTTTCTAAAAATGTCTCAGATCCCAAGTGCTTAAATTAACAGAGGTTTTGTTTTTCACTGACCTCTGATGTAAAAAATAAATTAGATTCTGTCTTACATTTTTACCAGAATGTTGACATTTTGGAAAACATAGATGTTATGTAAAAAATTTGCTGTAATTTTGCTACAGTATAGCATATTTTTTTTCTTCAAATGTTAAAATGAGAAGATACAGTTCTGAAGCTCATTCAATTCAAGTTCATTGGTTCATTACAAGTATAAAATCAATTATTATGAATATGTATAAAATCAATTATTATGAATATCACCATTCCTTGGTAGAGTTAATGGGGATGAAGAGGAGGGGGACTAAAAATTTTATATTTGCAACAACTAGAGTCAAGATTGTATATTGTGTAGTACACATGTAACAATAATTTTGTATGTATTTGTATTTGAGTGTGTTATGACATGACTGTATCACTTGTTAATGCTCATGAAGAAATAGTATTTATCTGCAGAGCTTCTATACATGATCTGGAGCTATCTGTTTAAAAACATTGACTTTGAACACATCAGAGAACAGTTCTACCTTCATATTTTGTCAAGCTTTTTCTTGCCAGCTAACATGGCTTGTATATTATTTTCTTATGGTGTTATCTGTATAGAAGGTAGAGAAATTCATTGCAACAATTATTGATCTCTTTAAGAAACTCATGGCCAGCATATTGATGTCAAGACAGCGAGTGGTTAGGTGTTGCATTGCATGGGGAAAATCTCATTCTACCGCAGAAATAGATATTGAAATTTAAGATTTTTTTTCTCACATGAAACATTTAAATCAAGTGTCCTTTTTACTTTTGTCCTGGTTTAAGCAAAAATCTACTGTACTGTGCAATACTTAATCTGATATATATGTGCATGTAATACGAAAATGAGATGACAGAACAGCTTAAATGATATTTTAATGCAAAAGTGTGTACTTGAGCCATTACTACTGTACAGGATAATTATGAAAGGGAAGTGCACAGTTACATAAATAATCCACTATTATTGCTTAGAGCCTTCAGAACTGATTTCATATGCTTAAAATTTTCATTTTCTGCATTTGGTAGATTTTTGCAGATATTTTTAATTGCCCAATCATTTACATGTACTGGTATTTTCCAACCCTTTTTTGATTAGGTAAAACTGATTCAAAAGTTCTTTCTTTAAAGTCTAAGTATTACATTTACACAAAATATACACAAATCAAAGAAAATAATATACTCTGCTTGGTTATTTATACTGAAAAGTTTTGAAGTCCAAATATGGCACCTTAAAGTATTTTTAATTTTTTCTGCAGGGAGTTTTTTTTTTTAAAGATTGTTAAAGATGTTGACTTTTCATTACTTTGATTGTGAAAAAAAACTGCTTTTGTATTGAATATGTTTTTGGAGTGAAAGTACTTTGTATTAATTTTGCCATTGCTATACTTTTTTTGGAAAGAAATTGATTGTTGATGAGTTTTTTCGTACACTCTATTCATTATTGTTGGAATGGTTTAGATGGTCATTTATATATTTTTTAATTAAACATGATTTAACAAGATATTAAAGACAGATAATTTCATGTGAAAGAAAAGATGATATTTTATATCACATTAAATACTTTTTACCTTAATAACCTATATGCATTTACATATTTCTTTTTCCAACTCCACTAAATTTTTAATTTTTTAAAATTCATATTTGAAAGATTTATATTATTTTGTTAAAAATCTCTTTCATCATTTCAAAAAAGAAACTTATTTTAAGAGCACACTTGGTGTGTTATTATATGATATGTGTTAAGATTACGATGTGAATGTATGCAAACATATCTTTATTTATTGTTTTTTAGGAAACATTCCAGTTTATTATTTGTTTGATTGGTGTGTATGTTAGTGTATGGTGTTGACATTGTTATGTAATTTTGTTAAAAGATTCATGCATTATGTAGTTTAAAAAGACATAGAATTAGTATAATACCTGAATTTATCTACTGCAGGCATTCTAAATAATTGACTTGCTTGTTTGTTTGTCTGTCTGTCTCTTCCTCATATTTTGTCTTCTGCTAAATTTTAAGGTTCAACATACTTCGGTCACTTTTATGAATTTTTGCTTAACGCTTATGATTTTTCCAAATCTTTTGTACTTGTTCATTATAATGCAAACAGTTTCAATGTAGCTTCAGCCTTGTGGGGGTGAATTTACAAAATACATATGTAGATCTTTAACTTGTTATTTTGAAGGGGAAAGATAATCATTTGATCCAGTTAGAGTTATCTCTCTTTTCAGAGCATCAGTGAACCTTAAACAATCTATGATAAACTGGAAATTTTACTGTAATAAGATGGGGATGGAGGGCAAACTGAAACCACTTAGTTGTTATATCCTTTGTTTTTTGTAGTATCTTTTATTTTCTTATCACACAAAATTTAATGAAATATCTTTTGTATTTTGATATTATTATTATTATTTTTTATTTTTTAAATAATACTAGAAGTTGATGATGAGAAAACCAAATATAAGTATTTATCTTCACTCATTGCAAAAGTTGATTCTGCTGATGGGATATTCCAACTACATAAAGTAAGATTTATGTACATTTGGATTTGAATGTTTTCTTTGTTGTGCATTTACATGCAATATTCCCACCTATCGATATATAAGATTTTCATTTGTACAAGGGCAGTAAATGTCTACTAAGGTGCTGTTGAGGCTCTTGTTTTAACTCGATTGTGTTCCAATACAATATTTCAGATGTATTTATCTGACCTCTTAATATCATGTCAACTTGTCTTTTAAGAATAAATTGCAATGTTAAAAAGTTTAAATGTTTTGTTTTTTTTAATCTGATATTTTGTTGTGGTTCATTTCTTCTTTTGAAATAAATTGCAATGATGTCTCATAAAGAAAATTTTGTATTTTATTTCCGTTTGTTTCTTTTAATTATTTTCAGGATAATTAAGTTTATTAAATATAAACTAAAAAAAAAATTACTTTGGGTTTACTTAAATTTTGTCTTTAACTATAATATAGACGTGAATGCACATTACTTGAACTACGGTCTCCTCAGAGACTTCTTTTGTTAATGTTTTAAGCTACTGTCTCTTCAGAGACTTTCTTATGTTATCACTGTGTACCTATTTCCTACAAAAAAAAAAATTACCATAGTCTCTGACGTATAAGCACTGATGAAATTCAGTTTGTGTTTATAAGACTTCATAACCCGTCTCTGACCGTTTCAGTCCAGTCAAGGTCCACGTCTTATTAATTATGCTAATGAAGTTGCCCTTGTTTACCTATAGTTTCTCGAAGGTTATCTTGTTTACCTGGGCGATCTGTATTACGTAGAAAAGTATGTACTTGCTATCGAACTTTTGATAATCATTGATTTATCTTATGACACAATGCATATCGATCGAGGTCTATCGCGGAAAGTCGTGATCCTCTTAACAGATGTAATCAGATGGGTTTTAAAAATATATTTCTCAACATGTTGAACAGTGACGAGAGGAAAGTGCACGTGTCCGTAAGAGGCTTATTTGGGGTTTTTCTTCATAAAAAGGGGGGGCGTATGTAAGATAAACCACGATGCCCCTGTTGTGACTTTTATTTAGTCGAGGAATCCTGTTTTGCACAAGGAGTCTGCAAAACGAGGAAGATTCTGAATGAGATTATGACCAAAATGGTATTCTAAGAAAAAATTGACGAGAAAACTTTGATTTTATTTTCCAAGGCCATTCACCAAATTCAGTACAGGAAGAATGCAATGAATAATTCATCATGTTGCTTTTAAAGACAACATTATGACAATGACCTTGTGTATGTAATAGATGTTCTTTTTTTGCTTATTGTCAAAAACGCCTATTTTGTTTTATACACCTGGGGCCAATAAACCGAGTGAGATGACTCCATTGACTTAATTTATTTTCTTGTGGTTGGAGCAATTCATCGACTTTATGATGTCTTTGTGGTTCTGTAGTACATGTTTATTTTTTGGTTTTGTTTCAAATAATTGTAAACAAATTTGACGAAAATCCGTCCGTTGTCGTTCGTAGGGCAGGCGTGTAAATTGTTAATTCAATTCCATCTACAAGAACTTGTCTTTTTCTCTGTCATATAAACAAGTTCGGGCGGAAACAAGGTTACTTTTGTATACGTAATTCGGTAAGAACCATTTCCTAATATGATCTGACAGTTATTAAACAACAACAAAAAATTATTAAGCCCCGCCGTTCTTCCACAATCGTACGATCTCTTTATTTTTCTCTTTCTCTCAATGGCGACATTGGTGATAATCCCCACATGCGTTGGAATCTTGGCCTTGAATTCGCTGACTTAAATGTGATCAATATATGGCTCGTGAACGTGTCCTTTGGTTCCATGCGCGTGGTCAGTCAATTCAACCTCTCTTAGAATATCAGGAAGCCATTCTATATATTTACCGCACTTAGTTTTTCATTTTCATGAACTGCAAATTAATATTTCTGAAGGGTCAATCCAGGGTATGTATAGTTAGTGACTCTTCCCCCACCCACCCTCTATCCGAAAAAAAACCTCTCTATGTAGTAGCTTCCAAATCTATATTAGTTTAATTCTAATCTTTTTTTTTTTTTTTTTACATCATCACTTAAATAATTGCTTTGTCTATCAAATGACACATCCGCACAAAAATTAAATCAAATTTCTGTACTTTAATATGAATTTAAAGTATATGTGCATATATTTGTGCGGGCGTTCCCGAATTAAGTCTTGTACTAGAAGCGCACAATGTATATTAATTAGACGCGTTTTACAGTCGTCTTTTACTATGCCATAGGAGTAAACTCCTTTTATTTATATGGTAAAGAAAAATCGGTATATAACCCTTGTAGTTTATTTGAATGTAAACGCCCCCAACTGACTTAATTCATAAATACAACCGTTAATATCTAGGATTTTTGACAAGGAAACAAACAAATGGAAACTAAAGAAATTACGTTATTTTCCGTGTGGTGGAAGTTCTAAATCACCAATTAAACGAGGATGTTCACAAACGATAATCATCATTGCGTCCCATAAACAACGAATGAAATTAAATTATGACAGTCATTAATAAGAAGAAAAAAAACCCTAAATGAATATGCATTTATAATTAACTTATCTGTTTACATTCCATAGCTCTGATATGCGTAGCAGGTTTTGACAATCTTCATTCATCTGCACTACACGTCTACACCATAATTTTATTATTTTATTTTAAAAAACATTTTTTAGGAACTCGAGAAAACTTACTGCTATTTAACACTTGTAAAAGATAAACACATAATATGTTAGAATGTATATATACAGCATTGGGTAAAAAAAATCTACACCACCTGATGATGCGTCCATACAAATATGACCGATCATGCTTTGTTGTTCTTGAGAAGAAGATTTTTATAGATTTTTCGGATATACCTCGGTATTCCTATGTAAAACTTTGATGGTCCATTGTGGCCCCGCCCTACCACCCGGGGGTCATGATTTGAACACACTTGAATCTACAGCTTCACTATCTGAGGATTCTTCTACATTGTTCCATCTTGCTCGAACCAGTGTTTCTTCCATTGACAAGGTTTTTAAAACATGTCACCAGATTTTCACTATTTCTTAATTAGTAGCACTCCTTGAAAGAAGGTATGGTCCTTCATTTGAGCAAATTGGAATCCCCTATACCCAATGATGCTTTTTGGCAAGTTTGGTTGAAACTGACGCAGTGGTTCTAAAAAAAAAAGTCGAAAATGTGAAAAGTTTACAGACACACAGACGGACTACAGGCAAATTGTGATCAGAAAATCTCACTTGAGCTTTCAGCTCAGGTGAGCTTAAAGAGATAAAAAAAAGTCAATAAAATTTGTGAATACCATCTGGTTTCCTTGTAATAATATCTGAATATTATAATATTAAATACATGTTTTGTATGTAGTTGAGTGTAACATTGAAAATTTTATATCAAACTCCAAGGTCAAAGTAAAAATTGTTGACATCCAAAGGAAGGTCTTGTCGCAAGGAATACACCTATGAAATATAAAATCCCGAGTACGAGGGTTGTTCGGAAATTATTGAGACAATTACATTTACTCCATGAAGGACGGAGATAATTTCATGAAAATCCATCAACATTTTATAAAGAACTAATAAAACACTTATGCAAAATTTCTAATTCCTGTGATAATTAGATAAGTTTTGGTGAAATAATACACATGCATATGTCTATCTACCCGGAGCAGCATCGCTACGTCATTTAACGTCATGCCGACCGGAGATGGTTTCACATGTGAAACGATTGGGAAGCGTTTAATACTCTTCCTTCTTTGTTATTACATATAACATTACAAAAATCTAAAGTCTTTTTTTCTGAAGTTATTTTTCAAAAATGTATGCTGTTGCTACCCCAGTGTAAAATTTTCATTTGTGGCAAAGGATGACTTAGAACCATGCATTGCCGATTTATGCAACGCGAGTCAACGATATTTTTACCGTTATGATATTAATACCGTACGTAATAACTGGTGGTCGTCCAGAGCTTTTAATTTTAC